TGAGATGCAGCTTCGTACATGGGAGCTTTAGGCGGGAGAGAGGAGAAGCAGAGAGGCTTAAGTGTAACAAAATCTGCGGCGGTGCGTGGCAGCCATTGGAGAATTGCAGGAACAGTGCTGAGAACAGCTACAGGAATGTCGGTCTTGCTGGTTGAGAGAACGTGGGAAGCAGGAGATTAGTAGAAGCCAAGGGCTGGAGCTGATGATAATGGACCCGGGGTTGGTCGAGGTCGAGGCAGCCATAGATGATGCAGTCGCACAGTGCACACAACAGTAGCCCCTCCACTACTCCGCTTGGGACCATTCACTGATGTGGTAAGCGGTGAATAACCAACAGCTGGCAGAACACAGTGGTTCATTTCAATGGAGCTTAGCGCAAGGGTCCTAAGAACCTAAACTCCGGCCGACTTGATTCAGTTCAGTCATCATTGAAGGTTGATTCACTGTCGAAGACAGTCGCGCACTTTTGATGATCGGTAAACAAGTGTCTCAGGATTATCGTTCCCAACGCAAGTTGAGTACATGAGCCTTTCCTTCTATTCCAGCCTCATGATCTGCCTCTATTTTACTGGCGCTCACACTCTGGCCTCGAGGTCTTGGTATCCTACCAGGTATCCACCTAACCAGGGTTGCTGTCTGCTGTCTAGAAAAGACGCCCACACCAGTAGGAAACCAGTGCCCGCGCGGCTAATGATCAGCAGCTGAGTACTACGGACGTGGACGTATGCAGATGGGTGCCTTCCTGCCCATATGCATCCGCACGGGTCTGGCGAATGAGCAGAAGGCCAAAAAAGGCATTTGAGCTTCGTGGTCTTCCATATGGCACGATTGGCTACAGATCTTATCCGCAGGGTGCATCACTGCACACCATGCCCGGCTGCCGCTGATGCAACTGACGATGCCGGCGCGTGCTGCTCTGCTTGCTTCCGTCGCCGCCGCTGTAAGTAGCCGCGTGCTCTTGAGTCCTCACCCCAACACTCTACTGAGGCAAGTGAACTTATACCGGTTACAAGATGTGTTTGCACATTGAAATCATTTGGAGGAATACACAACCCCTTTGTAACATGCCGCTTAGGACGCTTAGCTCTAGCTTCTCGCCTTACAGCGGTTGTAGCTACGTGACTCGACCACTTCTGCGCCTGAAGAGCTTGCATGTCAGTTGCCGTACCTTGATCCAACAGCTGGCCGTCTTCCCATCATCAACTTCCTCATTGACGCGATAGACTCCCTTGACGGCACCAACGGCCCCCATCGGGATGGGGAATTCAGCCATCGATGCTGTTCGCGACTGGTAGTGCGATCGTTGCTGCTCGGACTGACGCCTTCGCATGAAAGCCGCCCCAGTCGACATTGCTCTCTTAGGGACGTCAACCGGCGAAGGAGGAGTCTTGACTCTAGAAGAAATATCATAGTCGCAGCTGTTTGGAGACGACATTCTAGACGGTACGTCTGCAGGTGAAGTAGATGGCGATGCCAATGGGTAGGTGCGGCGTCTCTGGACAAAACTGTCAAGGCTGGTTGCCTGGGGGCTTGGAGTACTCCTGAGCGCCTTGGGATGCAGAGACTCTGGCCAGCCTTCCAGCCTTATGCCTACCCAGCAAGCCGTAACAACCATCAAATCCTTCAACTCCTCGGGAACAAGCTCGATTAATCCAGTCTGCTTTTGATTAACAGGATGTTTCCCCAAGCCCGTCACACTCGGCGGGAACGGCTTCGTAGGAGGGCCTTTCGCACTAGCATTTTGAACAGTGCTGTACGTATCATATATCGCCAGTTCGCGCGGGGTAAGCATGCCCATGATAGGGTGTCGCCGAGTCGAAGGGTCGATGATCGAAAAGGTCCAGGTATCTTCCCGGGGCATAGGGCTTGTACTGGGCGAACAGACTGCGCCATCCACGGACAACGCAGTGGTTCGGTTAGGCTTGCGCGCCCATCTCGCCACAGTCTTCAGGCCGCAGTGGTCCAGGCGCGAGAACTCGAATGATCCATTTGGCAAAGGCTTGCAGCCCCATGCGTTGCCATCGGCCATGACAATTTCGGCGGCATCATCGCCTTGATCTGACGTTGGGCTCACGACACCAAGCAGGTCTCTGGTTTCCAGACGACCAGCTGCCGAAGTCGACGATGGCATGGTCGCACTATAGTCCTCGCTTCGAGCAATCAGTACGTCATCTGTCCCCAGAACGGGCTTCGTCTTGAACATGCGAGGGCATCGCTTTGCCAAGCGGGGCAAGGCAAAAGGGCTAGAGATAGTGCTCGAAGGCAGAACATCAAATGCAGGCATTGCTCGGTGGTCATCGATTCTCTGAAGCTGAAGTAGATTTTTGGGTCGGAATTGAATGAGAACGCGCTGTTTGGTCTTGCGTTGGGGAGCTGGATGCGCCAATGAGTACTTGGTGGCTGGACGAGGAGTTCGCTTCTGTCTCTTTGTGCGTCCCGATATGTTGCTATAACCACTAAGCTCTGAGTCGGCGATTGACTCCTCGTCTTCACTAGGCGCAAATTGGCTTGGGTGCGGAACTGGTGTCATCGTTGGCTCTTGGAACCGGACAGCGAGCTCCTTTCTCGTGACGGCTTCGGACGCTAGTCGACGACGGAGCTGAGGTGGTGTTGTCGGGCCAGTATATGAGCGCCGTTCAGTAATGGAATCAGGAGATGCTGAAGGTAGAGGATAGCTAGTGTTGGCTTCGGCAAGTGGGCGAAGAGCAGATCGAAATAGTGGTATAGGTCGCTTAGGCGCTTGGTCTGCATCCGTGGAAGAGCGAGAGAACTCGTGGCCATGGAGGCCAGCCCCGGCGTGAATGAACATGATTGCTGATCGCCGAGCAGGCAGGTGCCAGGTGCCTCAGATGGAAGGAGAGAGTTACCGGGCGAGGTGACCCCCTACCGGTTTCTCAAAACCATCAAATGCAACGACCTTGGGTCACTGCGAATGCACCCTGTAAGAGTGAGGATTGTCCAGCTGGGGAAAATCGTAAGAGCGAACGTCTCCACGCTGGGTTGCTTGCATATAAGGAATCCCGAGGGAGTGAAATGCGGTCAAGAGGAACAAAGTCGTGCTGATATGGCCTGTTTGGGTCTGATCTGTTTGAGACGCTCTACCGTCGGTTTGTCGATCCGGGCCCCAACCCCCCGGTCATCAAGTGTAGCCTATTTGCGGCTACGATGGGTGCGTTTGATGGGAACGGCCTAAAGAGCGAATCCCTCTCAGCCCTGCGAGCAACGGTTCCTGAAGGGATATCGAGAGTCGAAACCAAGCTGGACGTAACCAAGGAAGGGCGGTAAATGAGTGAAGTCAGACGGTGAGCTTGAAGGTTCAGTAGGCCAGCCAGCCAGCCCTGCCACACTATGGTCGGACTCGGAAACGGGCCAAGGCGGGACGTGATGCAATAGATAGCCAGGTGCATGCACCTATTTGAAGCAATTCCTGTGTGGAATGGGATCTAGGACAGGGTGCTCTCTCAATTATGGAGCCACACGGGATTCCGACTCGCAGAAAATGGGGCGATCATGAGACCGCGGTGGTAGTACAAATGTGCTGGCGGGGGTGGCTTGAATCTTGATGCCAAGTGCTTACTCTAGATGACAAGTGTTGTGTACCGTTCCGTTCAATAATGGCTTCGCGAAAAGACCGTGTAATATTGGATCACTCCCCCTACTCCTCTGCTTCAGAGAGCACTTCGATGTTGTACGGACCATCGGAGCATACGAGCGCGGACCCCTGCTGTCATCAGACCCGACGGAGTCCAAGTCCAAAATCAACTCCGACCGCTGAGGCAGATGCCAATATCGCGCCCGAAAATTGCCGTATAAGTTTCACCGGCTTTCGCGGAACGACAGCATAGCTTTGAAGTGACGGATGGGTCAGCAAAACCTGTCTTTGCGGACTTGTGATTGGCGAGTCATTTTTCTATAGAGTACTACCGGTACGTCTAGAAGGAAGTACGGATGTACGGAGTACACGTACCCAGGATGCCCGTCCAGTGTCCACCGCTTGACGTGCGACTGATTGAGAGATTTTGGCCATTCAAATCCAATTAGGGATACCGAATTAGTTATGCCTCCTACTTTAATCTACGCACATATAGCTCTCAAAACTCGTATGCCGGTCTGAGGCCTTGGCATTGAATTCGATGTATTGCAATCGATGGCGTGGGCAAGTATCGACCAACGACGCTTTGCGAGGTGAGCTGCGAGCCAGCGCTCAATCGTACGTTATTCATCCGTGGATTCTTGAAAATGTAAGCATACAGCACGGAGTAGCAAGGTGCCGGCCTGTCGCTGCCAGTGACTAATAAAGTCAAAAACCTTCCCGCTGTGGGACACATTTCTCTGAGAACGGAGTCCGTTTCGGGAATTTCGCGAGTCGCGCACACCGACGCGCGCAATCGGTCGTTCTCTCAAGGCGCGACGAGGCGGGTCATGTAGAGCCCTCGGCACTCGTACAATAACAAGTCACTGGGAGAAAGTACAGCTTCATCGTCATACTGAAGCCATAGTCAAAGTCATTTGGTCCGCTACACTTGCGCCCTTGTCCACGTAGACTATCCGTGGGAGCACGGCAATGACTTTAAGCACATGCCCCAAACCAGAAGCATATGCCGGGTTCCAACTGAGGGCTTGATCTTAAAATTAGCTTTCCGTTCTGAGCATCGAAACTTGTGGTTGGAGATTTCTTATTTTCAGCATCCTCAGTACGTATAAGACGAGCTAACTATACGAAGCGCCTCGGCATCTGTCATCGCAAGAAGTCTTGCGCTGTTGAATTCGAAATCGGGGTTCGGATCCGGGGTTGGTCGGACGCCGCTTTGGACCGTTTTGCTGAGTCATTTCGTGAAATATCGAACCTCCGGCATGGCCGTGCTTCACATCGTCCCATGCTTCACTCGCGCGATAGCAGTACTCCCGCGGTGTCAATCATCTTCCGTTCTCCACCGGCTCGCTCGTGTGCGATGATTGGATCCGTAATTTTTCTCGTGTAACGACGACGGCCGCCCGCCATGAAGGGTCCCTTCTTTGTGCCTGCACGCAACATCCACCATCGCCATGCCGCACTAGCTCTCTATCGTGCCCTCCTGCGCACGGCGCACAGGGTAGAGCTGCCCGCAGATCTCAAGCCGCGGGAGAAGAAGCTCCCGCGACTGGTGCCCAAACCACATGTACGAAATGTCGAGGAGTCCGACAAGGTTCGCGGACCAGCTGGAGGTGCAAGAAAACATGGACATCCCTTTGCCGCGCAGATTCATGCGCATCCGGCGCAGCGGCTGAATCACTGGCATCCCATCGGGAAACAAGTGAGGAAGAGGTTCCTGGCCGATAGAAACTACACAAGTCTGCGATTGGTGTACGCCTCCATGGCGACAGGCTACAAGGTACTCGCCACGCCCTTCCCGTCGTTGACGCGCACCTAACTAAGTCTTCCAGTTTCTATCAATGTTGTCGAAAGCAGCTTCTTCGAACTCGAAAGAATATGCTGAGCTTGTTGCATTCATGCGCGACCTTGCCTCGCAGCGCGCCTCGCAGCGAGCACGCGACAATCAGCGAACCGAGGCAACGGCGCCCGATATTGCAGCGACGCAAATTACACCCGGGCAGGCCACCGAGAGGAGCGACTCACCAGCGAAGGAAGTGTTCGAACCCCGTGGTCCTCTGCTCGCCATAACCTCTGGGCCAGGCGAACCCCCCTCATACCTTGGCACACCTCGGCCCGTGGAGACACTGGGCCGTGATCGACGCGTGCCGCAATTCGTCACAGACAGCTACGGCGTTCCGTTCTTGCGCTATTCCAAACCACACGACCCCAAGCTGGATCGTATGAATGGGCAGCGACGGAAAATGTGGCTTGCCACAATGGAAAAGTTCAAGGCGTCCACCGACACACTCGTTCCTGACTTCTCCCTGGAAGATGTCTGGGAACACCATTTGGCGAACGCGGCGCACAAGGAAGGTGCTGAAATTGCAGATTCCGAGCCGATGTCCTGGATCGAGAGCTCGGGTGCGCAAGGACCGCTGGAAACGACAGACAACTCTCCAGGTCCTCGGTCGCTCGGCAATGCGAAGGATACCTACATGTGGACAGCTCTCAAGACTTCATTGTGGTACGAGTACCGGCTAGAGAGGGTCTACGAGGACTTTGTCGCGCGGGCTGAAGCGCTCGTCAATCTACGAGGGGAGGAACGGCGTCTGGCCGCTCTGGAGAAGGGAGAAGATACAAACCCCAGCATCCAAGCAGTCCAGCAAAGTATCAATGACCATCACCAGCAAGGCGGCCAAGGTGGCCAGATCAAGGTCAAGAGCAAGAGTATAAGGACGTGCGTCGAGGCTGCGCGAGAGGGCGAGGCCAAATTCGGCCAGTCGACTGGGGCTGATCGTTTCGATACACCCGCATGGCGAAACGTCGTTGCGCAGCACGGTTCAAAGATGTTGGATCTGCTCATGCGGCATAAGCATCCGGATGTCAGGTTTTAAAGGTTGTGCGTTTAGGATTAGCATTGCGAGGCGTTCTGGCTTCATGTGATAGTAAGACATAGAGCTCCACACGTGCTGGTTTGATGCTTCCTGCGGTTTACTCTTCATCGATATCTCGCAGCGCTGTGGCACAATAACTTGGCATAGGGGTGTTTCAGCGGAGGTTGCTGTTCAAGACCGCAGCAGCTCACGGAACAGGCGCCCTAATGGTTAACCACAGCCTGTCAACCCGAAAGGCTCCAGTCTCTCCATGTTCATGGTATGTTGAATCCATGTCGCTAGCCGCAACGGCTGAAGAACGTCCTGCAGGGCCCAGTGGGGGCCGGCGGCGGGCCGTTGTGGGGAAATGGTTACCGCCTCAGCGGCATGATGGCATCACGTCTTGCAAAAAGTCAAGACAGCATTCATTAGCAACGTAACTAGACGGCAGCCTGCTATATGTAAGTACGGGTTTTGCTCTATACTGACAATATCCAGCCAGCAGCCTGCATTGACATGCGGTGAGCATGATAAAGAAATCGCTGACATGAGGGAATCGATTGAACATGTAAGGGTGAAACACGTTAGCTTTATTAGACGTCTCGGGCGCCTCGGACAGACGGGTACGCATGGGCATTGCCGGTACTGCTTTGATTGTGGCTCTGGGCTAAAAGATCATCGTAGCTTTGATTCCGATGAAGCAATGTGGAGTCATTTGAAGAATAAACACAGCTATATAATGGATTATTATCCAAGTTTGTCGTGGTCTTGTAGGTGGTGTACTTACGTCCCCGTCGTCTCACTCCATATACTTACTGCTTTTGGCTATCAGCACTGTAGTGTATGGTCGCAAGCCCTAGGAAACAGCGTGTCATCTTGCTATCGGTCGAGTTTGGGATCAAGTCCCTACCAGGGAGGCCAGTGCTATTTCGGGTCAAACTACGGATAGTGTCAAGAACGATCAACTCACCACAGAACGGTCTTTTAGTGCAGTCTTTAAAAATTCCTCATGAAGTCCTGGTCTGCCGACCTTGGCTCCATTTTCGACCACTTGCTCAGACAGATGCTCCAATTTTACGAAAAGCATATCAAGATCATCGAGGAGTAATTTCGATATCAACCTGACAGTGGCGGCGCCTGCGGTATCCGATGTCTCGGTTGTTACAAGCTCGCACGCGTAGCAAAGCCAATCACTCGCGGAAAGCTAAGACATGCCTGGCTCTCGGGCGGCTACACCGGGATTTGGTTTTGCGGCACGGGTAAGGACGTCGAGACCCACCACAACATAACCGAGTCTACGAGGCTGGAGCATTTGCTGGAAGTACCGTCCGTTTCCTGCGCCAAGCAGAGAACGTTCAAACACCTCTTTGCTTGAGTCGGAGTCGGCGGAACTGGACAACGCATATACCGCACCAGATCGCTCGCGGAGTATAGGGTAGTCACTTTAGTCTAGTCTAGTCTAGTTGCCTGGATTCTGTTTGCGACGTACGCCAAGAAGCCGAGAAATTGGATCACAGGCGGTCTAGACCACAAGAACAAGTATCAGCTAACTATACACCCTTCTCAAGACTGTCTCTTCCGCCGAAGCCCTTGAGCTACAGTATCAGTCCAATGCTAGCTCTTTGCTGTCACTCATCCCCCCTCCGCTCCCCTCGAGTGGCGAATCTGACCAACAAGCGGCCAAGGGCTGGTTAGTGATGTTCTTCGAGGACATTATGAGGTTCCCAGCCAGCACCCCAAGGGGTTGAGGGTCGTCGCTAGCCGTGGTCATACTGAACTCAGCATTGATTTTCCAGATTGACAATTCATAGACTGCACACGCATCTTGAATTGTGATATCCACAGATACGAAACCCAAGCGGAAGCTTGGGCTTGGATTTTCCTACTGTGGGCAATTTGCCTCCCATTAAATCCAGCCACGGAGTTCTCGAGCACATCTGTCCACATCAGAGCGTGTGTCCAGTCGTCCAGCCTTAGGGGGCATTGTCTTGCCAATCTGTCTCTATTCTTGATGTCTCATTGAGTCTGTAAGTCACAAGGTAAATTCGGGACCAGTCTGTGAGCTAGGTATAACGTCAGTACGTGAGTACATGTATGCGGCCGTCTGCATGTCACATGGCGGCAGGCAGAAAGTATGGGTCTATAAGAAACGGATTGCTTTGAGTTTTAGACGACCAGGGATTGTTTTGACCTTTGATGCCACCCTCGTACATTTTCTGAATCCTGCAACCTTTCATTCGCACCGCGACTTGGCGTCGAGCCAATGCAATGGGTTGTTCGCCCCGCTCATGAATAACGACAGGAAGACGACGGTAGCAACACTTCTTCCTGCAGCTACGCTGACCAACGCTGACCAAAAGAGGATGCAAGTTGGAATACAGTCGAGTCTACGTATTGACCGGGAGGGATGCACCACTTCCCGAGGATCCGCGTGGGCGGGAATCAAGATGGTGCAGAGCGGCAGGGCGACGGCTGGTGATTGGGTCAACGGCTCCGGGCCTGGCAACACTGGCCCGGGGAAATGACATTGGACTTGAACTTCTCGAATCACTACCATCATCACCGGCGCTGGCACGATCATCAACGGCCACATCACCACTACTCGACGGCATCGCCAGATAGCCGCCGCTTCAACTCTGCCCAGATTGAAAGCAACGCCTTGCATTCTCAGTCGTCGCATCTCCACTCGGATCCCTTCAACTCGCAACAGCCACACACTGATTACTAGCCCGCAACTAGCGCTTCAGCCCCCAGTTAAGGAGGAGTTCAGAGTACCCAAAGTGGAACCGATGAGCCCACGAGAGTCACACAATAATATCCAATCTTGCCTTCAGAACCCACACGAGCGGAACATGGATACAGTTGCTACATGGGACAGCATGACGCCTCCATCGCCGGCAGTGCCGATCGCAGACGGCCAGCATACCTCGAATTCGAGGAAAAGGTCCCGGACGGATGACTCCGATACGTCGGTGGTGATAACGGCTACAACTAAGGATGGAGCGCGGCCCAAGAAGCGTGGGCGGCCAAGGCTCACCCAGGCCGACAACAAAACATACTTGGAGGTAAGCATGGAGTCTGTATCGCTTTACTTGTGCGGATCTGGAGCTGATCTTGTATTCTCTGTAGCGTCGACGAACCCAGGTCCGGGTAGCCCAGCAAAAGTACCGCAACAAGAAGGAACAAAGTATCGTCGACCTTGAGCAACAAGTCAAGGAGGAGAAGGCACAGCGCAGAGCGCTGGAGCAGGGGTTTCAGCACTTCCTTTCCCTTCTTCAGGATAACGACACGATGCTGGACAGCCCGGAGGACGTCCTCTCCAGCTTCACTGCGTTGCGTCAGAGGTTATGCCCTGCCGATCTGGACAAGAAGAATCAACAAGACAACCAGAGCACCTCATCGTCTGCAAGTGGGCAGCACCAACCACACTCTACGACCAAGCAATCTCAGGCCACCTGGGGCTTTGAAGGTGACTTTCTCGACTGTAACGAAGTGGAGCGCTATCTCCAGGATCTAGGCATCGACATTCCCGCCAACGCAGAGTTCGTCTATGCTGAGCTCAACCCAGCGCGGTTTGCGGATGGACAGGCCACAGACACCGTCCCTGTCCACGCCGTTGACAGCGATGTGTACGCATCCAGTGCCGTGGTGAATAACGCGCAGGACTGGTCTGCCTATGGAGCGACATCTGTCTTTGACAACGGCACGGAGCCCTGTGCACCGGACATCAACGGCCTGAATCCATTCCTGTGTCCGGCAGTACCGCCGAAGGCCTGGGTGAACAGGGATCCTTCGAATCTGCTCTTTGCGACTAAAATCAGTGTGCCCATGCTGGTGGAGGAGATAATGGGGCGGTGCGTCTGCCTGGGCAGGACCCCCGGCGTCCGCCCCAAGGACGTCGACCGAGCGATCAAGATCGCGTCAGGTTTGTTCAAATCTGCATCATGATTTGTGTTTCTGGGAGCTTGGTGTTTCTGGGAGCGAGTATGTGAATATCTGGGTAATGTTGGTTACTAGACCCTTGTGATACCACATGCCCAACGTGGCATAAAACCGTTTATGGAAATGTATGTTTACTCACCCCTTGGATGTGCCACGTGCTACGAACCTCATTTTGTGCTGTCCAAAGGGTCGCCTATCTCAGAGTTTGGGACAGTACCAGCACTGACAGGGCCTCCCGTACTATAGTAGGCGGGGTCCCCGCGTGTCATGGATATCAGACCCTCGTGCTCTGCCGACCTAAACCTCATCCCGACCGCGTTCGTCCTTCTCGAGAATGAGAAACCACTACAATCATGATCAGGAAACGCCGCAATTCTTCATCTCCCATCAAACCCCGCCTCATCATACACGACGGTGCAGGAAACATTCAGCGTCACAACATTTCACCCAAGATCTACGAGTCCTACCGCACATCACTCCTCTCCATTGCAAGTCCATGCCGCCTGATCTGTGCTCATTGCCTGTACAAGCCTGCTAACCCCCCCTCACCCTGTAGCTACAGAAGACGCAGTGTCTCCTGAACAGCCCGCATGCGAGTGCGCTCGACATTGCATCTCGCGCAGTGGAGCTGCTGGAGGATGACCCCCTCTACAACGCTGGCCGGGGCGCTGTCTTCACGCGCGACGGCATCAACGAGATGGAAGCCAGCGTCATGGTCACGCGAGGCCATGCCAAGCGCACAGCGGGCGTCATGGGCCTACGGCACGTGCGGAACCCAATCTTGCTGGCCAGGGAGATCCTCTTGAGAGGAGATGATGACCTACTGGGGTTGGAGGGAGATGCTATCGCCCAAGAGGGACTCGACGTGCCGAGCGCGCAGGGCCACACTTTGCTTCACGGTCCGACAGCTGAGGCTCTCGCGCGCCAGTATGGTCTATCTCTCGTTAGCCCCGAGTATTTTTTCACGCAGAGACGATGGGACGAGCACGTCCACTCCCTGTCGCGGGCGAGACTGGGCAAAGGCCGCGTCGCCACATACTCTAGCGAAACGTATCTACCCCAGGGGACGTGCGGTGCCGTGGTTGTGGACAGCCAGGGCATCATCTGCGTCGCGACCAGCACCGGTGGCCTGACGAACAAGCTCACCGGTCGAATAGGAGATACGCCAACCCCGGGCGCCGGATACTGGGCAGAGGAGTGGGTTGACAAACTGGGGACGTCCTCGCCCAGCTCTTCTGTGTACAATACGGCGATGGAGATTACAGGTGCGCTGAAGGGCATCTTGGCAGATTGCCTGCCTACCCCTTTTCAGTACGCGCCACTAAACAGAGACACCATCACAACAAAGAGCATGGCCGTCTCTGGGACAGGCAATGGCGACTCCTTCCTCCGGACGGGCGCTGCCCGCAGCGTCGCCGCCATGGCACGCTACGCACCATTTTCGACACGCACATCGCTCACCCGCGTTGCTGGCCCAGGCGGCGAACTCCAGCACAGCGCCGGCAACCGCTGGGACGACGAGACGGGCGAAGGGCAGGGAGGGATGATTGGCATCGAGAGCACGGTCACGCGAGACGCAGCAGGCCGTGTGGTGGACGCGACGACGGACGTCGTGATGGATTTCAACTGCGGCGGCATGTTCCGCGCGTGGTTCGACGAGCACGGCAAGGCACGAATGAGCATATGGACCAACGACGGGGACGATGCGGATTTGTGAACCTTTTTTTTTTTTTGTGTGTAGTATTGGTTTCGGTACTTGCGTGCGCATACGAGACATTCGATACATCGGATCATTTGTGGTCCCCATCCGTCATTCATTCAAGAAAGGCTTCATTGTATCCTTCCCTCGCCCGCTCCTGGTCGTACAACAGAGTCTCCGGTGTGTCTATCAAGTCCCTCCCGCTACCTGCCTGCTAGCAGCCTGTCTATAATACAGTGGTGGTGAAACGCCCATGTGAATGCGGTAGATGTGTCAATTGGTGGTGGTGGTGGTGTCGGTGTCGGTGGTGGTGGTATAAGAGGAAGATTATGTCGTCGGTCGTACAGTGAAGCTGTGCGCCCCAGAAAAAGTTACACGCGTGAGAGGAAGAGGGAAGAAGTCTCCATGTCCATGATGAGAAAGCCAAGGCGCGAGAAAACAGTGCAACACCCAAGCAGCAGCAGCAGCTTACATGGCCTTCTCCTCCATGCCCGGCGGAGGCTGGGGCATCTCGAGCTTGGTGCCGCCCTCAAACATTTTGCCCATGCCGATGCCGACGCCCTCGATGACGGCGAGGAGGACGGCGCAGCCAATGGCGCCGTTCCTGATGGCCTTGTAGCCACCGCGGACGGCGAGACTGCCGCCGGTGAAGGCACCGGCGATGATGGCGTTCCAGGGGTCCTCCTTTTGGCGGACGCCCTTGACGGCGCAGTCAAAGGAGGAGAAGAGGCCGCCCCAGACGCCAAAGTTGCCGCCGAGGACGGGGGCGCGCATCTTGACGGCGGTGATGGCGCCGATGCGGCGCTCGCCGTAGGGGGAGTTGCGGAAGCCCTTGATGCCGTGCCAGATGGAGCCGCCTATGCAGCCCATGGCGAAAGCGCCGCCAAAGTCGTTGAGGATGACCCAGGGGCAGGGGTCGCGGCCGTGATCCATGGTCATTGTGGGCGAGGAGGGTGTGCGCGACGTGCGACGATGTGTTGGGGGCCGATGGGGGGGGGAGGGAGATTGGTCAGGAGGGCTGTAGACGGGAGTTTGGCGTCGTCGCTGTCGTCGTCGGATCTGGCGGTGGCTGAGGAGGTCGTCGGATGGCGGCGCGATGGACTGGGTGCGCTGTGGCCTGGGTAGCGATGCAGAGGGTCGTCGGGTTGATGGTTCGTCGTGGACTAAAGAGCACGGATAGATTTGTAGAATGGTAGATGACGGAAAAAATCAAAATCCAGCGGCCAGACAGACGAGCGCGCCGATACGCGGATATTTGTGGGGCACCGCGGGTTGAGGGGGGAGACGTCGGACGGATGATGCCAGCTGGGCCCGAGCTGGGGATAACATTATTGATACCCTCGGGCTTGAGCCGAAAGAAGTGCTGTATTGGTGGTGCTTCTGAAGACATTCCATGATTTACCCGTGTTTTCAGTCCTCAACTAGTTGTACGTTCATATCTTCACATGTCAAAGACCAAGGTGCACGAGCAACGTATCGAATACGTACGTGGTGCGAGTCGGGGACAATGATTTCCTAGATTCCAACGTCTCCGAGGAGATGATGGACTATGAAGAAGACGCAGGCAACGCAGTTCAGGACGTGACGGCTGGGCTGGATTTTATCGCTCGTTTTAATGAACCCTCCATGAACTGTGAGTCGTGACCCCTGAACACCACACGGTGACTTTGATCTCGTGTCACCTTTCCTTCACTTACCGCATCAATTAGGGCGGCATTCGTTGTTTAGCTTCGTTCTGTTCCTCTCGTACCTCCGGCGCGAGTTTGTCTTCTCTACATGAAAGCACCCCACTCTTCAATCTCCTCAACTTCTCAATCTTCTGGGAGCGAGACCACACCATGCCATCACACTAGGATACGGATACTTGTGACAAGTCAAGTACCAAGAAGGACCTTCCCAATGGATTGAGCTACTAAGAACCGACGCCAACGGGAAATCCTCATCCTCTGTTCGAAGAATCAGAACGCCCGCATGTTCCTACGGCTGGTATCGAAGCCTTCTCATCTGTCTTCTCGGAGGATCTTGTGATCCGACATCACCACAATAGGACACAAATCCCGCGTGTCCGTGTGGGCTTGTTCACCATTGTAGTGAACAAACTCATCAAGACTCATGTCGGTCTCGTCGAGGAGTCTCTTGGTTTCGTCCAAGGGGGGCCCTTCAAGGGGGGACGGCAGCATGTCAGAGTTTGGTTGGTCCCACTGCGGCCGGGGGACCTTTGTCCCGTCCACGCCGCGATAGTGAGCTTCCGCTTCTGCGTTCCACTCGTCCAGGTCGAGATAGGCCTTGATAAGACGCGGCTCGAGAGGCACAGCCGCGACGACTTTGCGATCGTGGGTCAATGAGCGGAGCACACCGTCCTTACCGACATCGACGATGCCTAGCGGGTCAAGCGGGAGGCTGTAGAGCAGTGTGTGAAACTCGCGATGAGCCTGCTTTCGCTCAGGGGGTAGCTCATTTGGCAGGACGCGCCTCTCCTTTCGTCCTCCTGGCGTGATGCTTCCAATGCTGAGAGACGCCGACATGACATTGGTTTCGACGAGTCTCTTGCGCGCAGGGGTTAAGTAGGGGGAAGGTTGCAATGCATTCAAGCCAAGTTGTTCTGTGCCAACAAGGACGGCAGAACCAACCATTTATATAGGTATGTACATAGCGAGACACATGCCAAAGCACATGCATCTTCAATATTCAATATTGTGGTCCCGAGCGGGGTAGTGCCTGTTGCATGTAGTGGGCAGATGAAGAAATGCCATGCAACCCAATGTTAGTCGAGTGCGTAGAGGAAGTCACAAGGCCAACAGGCCAAAAGACTGGACCAAAAGAACCAGAATCACCAAGACCAAGGAGCGGCAGAGTTGGAGCATAAATAGAAGAGACAACCCAACATATTGTACCAACATTGAACAGACTAGACATTACCTGAATTCTTTATAGGAAGGCGATGTGGACGAGGTCTCGGCGCAACGTTGCAGCCATCCGAAGTGCTTCAACACTGCCAATTGTAGACTCTACACTGATTGCCATGTCTGCACTCGCCAAAGCTACCTGACCGGGGTAGGATGGTGTATTTAAGACACTTGCGATAGGTGCTCTTTCACAATTTTACTTCATACCGTGGCCCTTCAGAGCGGTGTGTGCGCGCACCAGTGACGAGCATGGCTGCAAACGTCGAAACACCGTAAGACTGATTCAAAGGCGCATCAATCAATCCAGGATGAGTAAAAGAAAAATTCATACCATTAATGAAATGCTGGGGTCGACTCACAAAATATACTTCGAAAAGCGACGGATTTCAGGAATACAGTGACTCAGTGCAACGAGTACCTTTCCCTCGTTTTGTGAAACTAGTCGGAAGGATTGGTCGGACTTGGAAGTAAGACTTCTCAAGTCTGATTATATAGTCTTATTAGATGAAATAATACATAACCCCACAAGAATGTCAGCACAGCATCGAAGCCACACCGTGATCCCGGGTAGGTTAAAATAGACCTGCGAGCGGCTGTAGCTGCTTCTCGCCTCGACGAGTCAACGTACTTCCCGAATAGGCTCGCCGATCCTCGTGCAGCTCCCACCTGCTTGGCAGCTCCAGAAATACGTGACAATCCTTTGCATGATGCAGTCTACGTATTCCATAATCTACTGAACTGGTGACCTTGAAGCTAATCTAAATCAGTCCCGGCGAGACGACCCCACCAGGCACAAGGTCTTCCAAATCCCATAACTATTGCGACCATCCACCCCCCCCATCTGCCTAGACATTCCCATTCCGCAGACAACCTGGCGATGCCTCTCAAGCTCCTTCCCGCTGGTCCTCGCGACGCAGACCAGTCCATTCACATTGAGAACCTCGCCTACGGACCCAACCCCATCGGCTCCATCATCTACCCAGGTCCCTTCCCCCCTTCTGCCCCCGATGCGCCCAACCCACGCGTGGAGAAGCTAGTCTCCCAGCTCGAGGCCGACCCGGCCTGCAAGTGGGTCAAGGTCATTGACACGGAGCTTCCCGAGGAGAGAAACATGGTAGCCTTTAGCATGTGGTTCTTCTGGACGGTGCCTCAGCACAAGGCACAGGACGACACGCCAGTGGACTATGGCACCGGGAGCAATTGGGAGGCGTGCGACTATTTCTTTGGGGAGATGCGGAGGCGACGAGAGGAGAGATTCGAGGGGAAGTCATACGCCTGTAAGTTGCGAGGACCCCTGCTGTATTTGATGCGAGGATGCTCACGACCGATAGACCTCAAACTGTTGCATACCGATCCGGCACACCAGGGCCGTGGTGCGGCGTCGATGCTCCTGCGGTGGGGAGCCGAAGAGGCAGACAGGCTCGGCTTGGACTCGTACCTCGAGTCGTCCCCTGACGCGGCCAGGTGGTACGCGAAGCGTGGCTTCGTCGAGGTCGACCTCTTCCACGCTGACTTCTCCAAGTGGAATGGGCCAAAGGAACACCCCTCTGCCCTCATGGCCCGACCCGTGGCCAAGCCATCATGACAATGTGCTCGAGAATGGGAGGAGAAACATGACCCGGAAGAAACAGTAAATGTCTATATTGCTTTCGTTTACGGTCGCTCTGTGCCAAATGTCGCTGAAAAAGCAGAAGAAACCCGGTAGACGCACAAGACCTCTCTCGCTGTTCGGGGAGATAGAAATCGATGTCATACAGGAGGGGAAGCAACGCCGGAGTTGACGGGCGACATGACGGGCGACACGACCGGGCTCGTGGTCCCCACGTCCTTTCCAGGAACCCGTCCCGTCTCCCATTCGAGTCTCTCCCGCACCATCCTAGCCTTGCCAATGTAGATTGTGGCGACACCCCACGCAACGCCCCAGAGGAAGGGGACCGTCCAACACACGCCATAGGCCCAGTCCTCTGGCACCGGAGGAATGACGGCAATTACAGTCAGAATCGTGGCCATGACAAGGGCACCAATCCCCCAAAACCAAGACATCTCGAGCATGAGCTCGCGGAATCGAGGGGATGCGCGGTAGCGGGCGGCTATAGCCTCGCGGTAGGGCCGGCCACATCCGCCGTTGACGGCAAGGGTGTCTTCGATAAAGTAATACACGCAGGGGAGAACCTAGTAAAGTGTCAGCTCTGATAGCACCGTGTGGAGAGAAAACGTGAACGTACCTCCCCACCCTTCGGCGTCGAACTGAAGCGGAAGGGTGCCGGGACCTTATACTTGTGCAGCAGCGTCACTGCTACCACGACACCTCCATACGTCCACAGGATCGAGGGCGCCGCCATGGCCACGACGCGCAGCCAGGTTTCATGCGGGGCACTGCCAATGATGAACAGGGCGGTCAGGACGAAAATGGCCACACTCGATGCCCACGTCAAAACATCGGCGCTCCACCGGCTCTTAGTCCCCAGCGGTCGGTAGAAATTCTCCTTCTTCATCAGCCGCAGAGTCCGGATGGCGAACTCAAGGTACGCCGGGCCGCCCCAAATGGTCGTGACGACGATGAAGATGATATAGTTCTCCACGTTGCCCGCGTATCTCATCCCATAGTACAGAGCAATCGGGACGGCCGAGGCGTCGACAAAGGCCACAAAGGCAAAGAACCAGAGCCGCCAGCGTCGGTTGCCATGGTGCCATGAAAAGGGCAGCTGCGGTAGCAGATCGGGATTGTCCTCGTAGTATTCCTCCAGCGTCCTCGCGCGTCGTTTCCATTCCTTGCGCGTGCCGGCTCGCGAGTCGTAATAGGCCTCTGCCTGCGGTCGTAGCGCATAGGACAGGCTCTGTCGTGGCGCCGGGTCGATGGCGGTCAGGCCGGGGAAAATGCTGCCTCGTCGGTGTCCGTCGTTGCTGCCCTGCGTGGACAACGGCGCGGCTGGTCTTGGTGACCCGATGCCGTTCGTCGTTGAGCCATACTGGCCTGCCTTCTTGGCCTCCTTTTTGTCCGTCTCTTCATGGCTTCTCCCGCGTAACAAGCTTGCGCCAAGGCGGATCTGAGAGAAGGAAACGCTGCGCGTGCTGGGGATGACGTCGGCGGATTGCGTGTGGGGTTGCTGACCTGGACGATCCGTCGCAGTGTCGTGAAGGGCGTCGCCGTTTGGTGTCGTGGGCTGATGGACGGGCAGCACGGGGTCCGACTGGGCCTTAGCCCTGCTGCCGTGGATTACCTGCGGCATGGTGAAGGGGGAGAGGCCTTTGCAGCCTCAGGTTGGTATGTGGTGGAGGCCCGGGGGAAAAAAGGTATCAAGAACAGCGGGGGGGGGGGGGAAGTGCAGATAGAAGAATGAATGTCTTCAATCGAAGCACATGGTTGTGGGCACTTCAAGGCAGCGTGAGATTCAAAAGATGGTGATGGGAGAAAAGCGAGATGCGCGGCAAGTGACGACTGGAGTCGTGAAAGTTGAATCTTGATTGAGGAATGGCAGGGGCGTGGGTTAGCGTCAGTACCCTGCAGGACTGGAGCTGCGGCGGCTGTGCTCCATGTTCAAGGGCATGGAGAGTGCTGACGAGGCTCGGAGCCCAGGACAAACAAGCATCTGTTGTGCCGCTAGTGACACCTAATTAATCCCTTGCAAGTTGAATTCTCGTCATTTGCTCCAATCTAGGTTCCTGTCCTGTCCTGACTAGTGACATACTACGTGCAAAGTTTCGCCGGCGGACATGGAGGCGGACGCAGCACGGAGACGGCACTCCGGCGGCATTGGATGACGTTAGTGTCCCTGAAGTTATGCCGACAGACAGCGACGTCATCAGCGCCATCGACCCATATGTTGCCGTACGATTATGCTTGCCGAAGCCTCATTGGCTGGCTTGCTGGGCACGGACATCGGGTTTCGATCATTGTCCCGTCAAATCCTACAAGTACCCAGCAAGGTAATCCCTGGATTCGTCAATGTAGACCATCAAGCACAGACAGGCAGTCTAACGAGGAGTCTAACACGGCGCCTCTTCGCTGTCTAAGTACTCGTGACGCGATCTCCGACTCTAAGGGGGCACCGTATTACAATCGGGGATGCATCGTTGCCCGTCCCACGAAGTCAATGAACCGGAAAGATACCCTGCCAAGATCACCAAGCTGGACCCCAAAGTTCAAACAAGCTTTATCCACGGGGTGCTGCTCAATTCGTAATCATTGATGGGCTGCATCATCAACGCAGGTGTACTATAACCCTGGCTGCAGGCGGCCTCTGAAGACGTCCCGTCAACGTCACCGAAGCGTGCGAGAGGCGGCACCGCGCAGCCATCCCTGTACATCAAAGCTTGGCCCAAAGCTTGGCCTAGCTCACACATCTCGATCCAATCGTAGTCTGCACCCGTTGGTTCTAGAAGCATTGCACAGCACACAGCCTGTCCTCCTTAATTGAAGGGGCCACGTCGATTTCATGTTACCTAGATGGCCACTGGCTCGTCGCGGCCGCCTCCTCGTCCACGAACAAGCCATCACACATCTCGACGGAGCCATTCCTACTAGTCAACATAACAGTGAACTCGTGATGTAGTTGATCTCATTCACATTCGCAAGCACATCTCCAAATCCGCACCGGAATGAATGGTAGAACAAGGGGGTATCTTTATCCAATGCTGACGTCGACCACAAAGAACGCAGCGCAGGCAGAGAAGTAGAGGAGTAGATACAAGAGCACAAGTAGCGCTAGGGGGTATTAACAATTATTTGACATATACACACGCAGAGATCACATCTTCTCCGTTGGTTGTTGCGACGAGTTTGTGATGGAGCCCAGCGCCCTGTGGGATTGTCTGTTAGCATCCATCGTCTCCTCTCGACACATTGCTCATGGCGTCCCAACTCACCTCAAGTTGCGCTCCCTCATCTCACGATCGAGGGTGCCCATCTGTTTCATCGTCTCGCGGGCCTTACTTAGCTGTAGAGACACAGTCAGTCAGAGCTCATCAGTCAACAAGCTGGCCTTGCACGGGGCTTGCGCACCAAGGCTAACGCAGCAGAGTCGTGATCGGTCTCGTCCTCACCTTCGGCCTTGTCGTCGTCGTCATCATTGGCAAAACGGCTGTCCGCAAGACCCTTGGCCTTTGAGGGGGCATTTGCCTGAAATCGTCGAGTTAGCCATCTCATTTATATGAACCATACGCTGGACAGACACACCTTTGCCTCGGCAATCTCGGCATCCTTGACCTTAAGCTGGGCATCCAGCTCTTCAAGCTTCCTCTCAAAGTCACCCACCTTCTTGTTGGCTTCGTCGAGCTCCGTCTGCATGAGCTTGACCTTGTTCTGCGCATCCTCCACCATGCTCGTCATGCTCTCGTTCAGGTCCTTGTAGTCTGCCTGGGCCGTCTTCGACTTAGCCTCGGCCTCGGCGCGGTGCGCCTCGAGGTCCTTCTTCACGAGCTCAAGGTCCTCTGTCACGGACGAGAGCTGCCCCTGGGCTGCCTCAAGCGAGGCCTTGGCGGCAGAGAGCTCCTCGTCGCGCGAAGCCAGGGCATCGCCGTGTGACTTTTCGGCCATCGACAGCTGCTGCCTTAGGCCATCCAACTCGCTCGTGTCGGGCTTCGCGCTCTTAGCGGCATCAAGTTCCGCCAGCGCAGTCATGCGCTCCATCTTCTCGTGCGCAAGCTGCTGGCTGAGGCTGTTGATCTCCTCGTTGGAGCTGTCAAGGGTCTCTTGGACGGTTTGCAGCTGCTCGGCCAGAGCGTCGCGGGCCAGGGAAGCCTCCTTGAGCTGCTCCTGCAACGAGTCGCTGCGCTGACTGTACTCGGTGATGGCATCCTGGAGGGCCTTGGAGTGCGATGCCGTCATAGCCTCAAGCTCCTTGCCATAGTCCGACCGCTCCGTCTTGTACTTGTCAAGAGCCTCGGCATTCTGGTTGATGAGCTGCTCGACAACGCTGTTGTGCTTCTCCTCCAGCTCGACCGTGGAGCTCTCGACAGCCCGCTCAATGGCCATCTCGGTCTCTGCCTTGAAGTTCTCCAGTTCCGCGTGGGCAGCCTCGAGCTGTTGCTTCAGAGCAGCAACTTCAGCACTCTCGGCGGCCGCGCTGGCATCCTTGGCCGCCGCAAGCTCGGTACGGAGTTTCTCCATCTCGCTAGCGTGGGCCTCGCCGGCCTCTCGCGAGGCAGCAGCCTCTGCCATTGCCTTCTCGAGCTCAGCAGCATGTGCGCTCTTGGCGCTCTCGCTGCTGGCGGCGTGCTCGTCCTGGAGCTTCCTGAGGGATTCGGCGTGCGCACCTTCGCCAGCTATCTTGGCCGAGGCCAGCTCAGCCTGGTGGTTCTCCAGCAGTCTCTGCTTCTCGCCTTCGCTGTCCTTCTCGATGGCTTGAAGTACCTCGGCGTGGGAGGCCTGCAGTGCCTCGAGCTCCTTCGCCACGTTCGACTCGCTTTCCTTCTTGAGAGTCTTCAGCTCTTCGCTATGCTGCTTCTTCAGGGCGTCGATCTCGGCCAAGTGGGTCTCCCTGTCGCTGGAGGCACCGGTCTTGGCACTTTCCAGCTCCTCGGCATGACTGGCACGAAGAGCATCAAGAGCCTTCTGGTGCTCAATCTCCTTGGTCTCAAGGGCGGCCAGAGCGCTCTCGTGCTCAGCCTTGGCTGCTGCGATGGCCGCCGAGTGACTTTCCTTGGCCTCGGCAAAGCTCTTGTCCAGGTCATTGTGCTTGAGCTCCAGAGCCTCGAACTGACGCTTGAAGTGTGGCTCTGCTTTAGCCTCGTCAATCTCGGCTTCATAGTCCTTGCTGAGCTGCAGCATGCGTGCCTCGTGCTTGTTCTTGATCTCGGCAATCTCCTTCTCCTTGTCGGCAAGGCTAGCTTGCGCCTCGGCGAGCTGAGCTTGGCAGGCGGAGATCTCCTCCTTGACCTTAGAGAGCTCGTCTTTAGCAGCAGCGAGCTCGGCCTCCTTCTCAGCCAAGGACGTTTGCAGCTTGCCGAGATTGCCACTTCCAGACTCAAGCTGCGACCTGGCGTCCTCAGCAGCGGCCTCTGCGCTCTCTGCCTTGGCCTTGAGCTCAGCGATCTCGCCCTCGAGGACAGTGACTTTGACAAGGTGAGCCTCGCTCTCGGCCTTGATCTTCTCCTCGCTGGCCGCCTCGGCGGCGGACTGAGAAGCAGTAAGCTCGTCAATCTTCTTCTGTAGCTCAGCGAGGGCAGCTTCATGGCTCGACTTGAGCTCAGCCATGGCAGTCTCATGAGACGACGCATCCGACTGGTCCCGCGCAAGCTCTTCCTTGTGCTTAGACTCGAGAGCCTCCACAGCAGCTTGATGCTGCTGATTCAAGGAAGCAGTGAGCTCCTCGACCTTGGCAGCTTGCTCGTCCAGCGCCTCTTTCAGAGCATCCTCGGCAGCCTTGAGCTTCTCGTCGTTCTCGGTCTGCAATGTCTCGAGTGACTGCTTGACAGCATCGAGCTCTGCTTGCACCGCGTCCTTGGAGCCCTGCGCGGCTGCGAGATCGGCCTTGTGCTGCTCAACTTCGGCTTGAGCAGCCTGGAGCTGGGAGCTGGTCTCAGCCACCTGCGACTCAAGAGCGGCGACGGCAGCCTCGTGCTCGGACTGGAGGCTAGCAATGGCTTCCTCGCCCTCCTTGCGGGTCGCGTCCTGCAGTTCCTCGGTGGGCTGAGCGTTCTGTTTCTCGCTCAGCTCGGCGAGCTTCTCCTCGGATGTCTTGATCTGGGTTTTGAGGTCCTCAATCTCAGTCTCACCCTGGGCGACCTTGGACTTGAGTTCATCAATTTCCTTGGCCGCGTCCGAGGAAGCGGTAGCAGGTCGCGACGTCGTGCGCGTGGTTGGGGTAACACCAACAGTGGACAGACGCTTCTTGGGTTCGGTAGCCGAGGCAGTGGTCCCAGGAGCGCGGGTTGCTGCAGTCCTCGCCGCGCCGGCTGTGGCCGTCCTGGGGGCTGTCGTCGTTCTCGATGATGTCGCGGACGACATCGTGCCCGCAGCAGGCTTGCGCGCCGAAGCGGTCGTGCCAGCAGGTGTTCGCGTAGCGGTCGGCTTGGCAGGGCTCGACATGATGCTGCTGGTGCGGCGGGCAGCGGTGGTGGAAGTAGCAGGCTTGCGCTCATCTTCACTCGCGCTGACGCTAGGGCGGCTGCGATGGGACGACGTGGTCGAGGTAGCCGTCGTTGGGCGGCGCACGCCTGTCGTGGTTGTGGTGGGAGGGCGCGTCGGGGGCTTGCTTAGACCACCTGTGGCGCGAGCCGTTGCTGCCGTGCCAGCCGTCCTCGTGGTGGTCGTGGTCGTAGTACCAGGTCGGCGGACAGTGCCAGTAGTTGCGCCTGCGGGACGCCTGACAGTAGAGGTTGTCGTGGGCTTGGCCTCGCCATTGGCTTTGTCTGCTGGGGTGGGAGCCTCGGAGGCGCTGGCATCGGGCGACGAAGGGATCGGGGTGGCCTCCTGATCTTCTTCCTTTGGCACGTCCGAGGCAGACTCGATGGCCGTGTCGTCGGGCTGCTCCTCCTGTTCCTCTACGAGCTGAGGATCCTGCTCCTCAGCCTTGGGGACGTCAAAGTTCTCAATGTCGGCCATGGTGAAGGGTCTGGAGGGAGAAGGGGTACTTGGTTAGCGAAAGATGCACACTGCTGGTATCCCTGAATGCTCACGTACCGAGATAGCTCGCGGCTGTCGACTCGCCAAACTAATGCAGAGATTCTGAAGACAAGCTGTATGGGTTCTATCCCTCAAGACTAGGGATGCCAGTTGTCGTCTTGTCGGGGTTGAGGGGGGAAAGAGAAGGGGTCAGGCGGGAGGAAAGGACTGGGCTGAAATGGAAGATTGACCTGAAAGATTGAGATGCCCGCCAGCGCAGTCACAGTGGTATCGTGGCCAATGGGCGTCATGGCTTCGGCGGTGGTTCATATGCGGCCCCGCTTATTTACAGGGGCCTGGAGGATCCAAGACCCCTGAACTTCGAACAATGTGAGCTGGCCAGCACATCGTCACCGCCTACTGTTTTGGCGAGCACGACGAGGGCAGGATTGCCAGTGAACATGCGTGTGATTGTTGCTGGAGGCATATGCAGCTCCTCAAGGTACCTCTGACACTGTGCAAGCCATTCGTGGAGCGCAAGCTCTCCGGGTCACAAGCTCTGGGAACTTAAGGAGACGCGCCGGGACGCGACGACCCGCCCCTCATGATCCGTCCGTCGCGCGTTGGAGAGCTTGCCGTCAGCCACATTCCAGTCCTCACTCACGACAGATATCTACAAGGCCATGCATGACGCAAACTAGACGGAGCCATACAACGCTCGAAATTCGAATGTGTACAAGTAGGTATCTTGTCCTGAACATACCTCCTAAACGCCAATCTCGTAGACTGTACCTACTCCTGAATGCCAATCCCCCTCTCCTCAGCAACCCTCTTTGCCAATGTCTCCAGTTCTCTCAGTCTCTTGATAATGTCGGATTTCTCACGCCGATACTTTAATACGCATTGCACGTTCTCAGCCCTAGGCGAGCCTCGAGAATTGCGAAGCTCCCGTAGCAATGCCTTGTCCTCCTCGTAAAACCATCCTCCATTCTCCGAAGCATACACCTCCCTGCTGCTCAGTCTCTGTACAGCTCTCAAATCCGGCGGTGGAGGCAGATCTTCCCACGTTCTCCGGGCAGGTGCCACACCAACCGTGGCGCGGGTGAAACCATCCTCCCTATGCCCGGTAACGGTAGCTGATGACACAGCGCGAGCTTGTTGAAGTCGTTCTAGCTTCTTGCGCCGAGCCATCCCTTGATACATGCCCCCAGTCTTCTCCTCGAATCGCCGTAGCCTGGCTTTGATCTCTTCTTCTTCCAGTCTGGACTCTGCGCGACGCCTGCGGCCCCGAGAATGATGCACAACAGTAGCAGCTTGGGCTCCCCTCTCGCTTGCTCTGTCGTCGACTTCTTCCGTGGCCTTACACACCTGCTCAATGAAGGTTCGAACACAACGGCGTGTTCTTGCGCGTCCCTGTTGCATTCGTATCTGGTGCGGTGGCGGGTCAGTCACATCGTCACATACGTTGCTTCCTTCGCTGCGATCATCGAATGCTCTTTCAATAAGTCGCTGTAGCCATCTAGCAATGCGAAGAAGCATCTGCAACCCGTGCGATGAGAACCGACCCATCCGGGGCACGTTCCTCGTGTCGGCATGTTCAACTGTAGACCCGCGAACAAAGGCCACCTTGAGCACAAGACTCAAAAGGGGGACGATGTTCTGGCGGATGTCTTGCAAAACCTTGAGGTTCCATCCCCTATACTTTTCCCTTTGTTCACCCTCTATCATTGTCGGGTAGGAGACCAGCCCATTAACTGACTGACTTATGGCGAGCATCAACCGTTTCAGATCGTGTGAGACGTGTTTCGAGCGCAGGTAGTCAAGATGGGCGCGTGTATCACTGGCTGAGGGCATATCCGACAGAAGCTGCCAGAGCTTGTACGTGTTGAGCGCCAGATTTCGCGCCGTTACCGTCTTGATGTCGTACTTGTGCCATCGCATCCACTCCTTCGCATTGTTGGCGGCATCATGGCGGGACGAAGCCTTGCTTGTGACATTGCGCGCGAGCATCTTGCTTTCCCAGGCATGACCCGTTCCAGCCCACATATATTGTCCCATACGATACAAAACACTTTTTACTTCAGTGCTATCCATATTTGCCTGGCGGCAATGCTCTGGGCTGTCAGGGATGGCGAAGAACGTAAAATGGTGATGGGGAGAGCGGTTTGAGGCTGGCTCTTCATCTTTATCCGGAGCATCTCGGAGCGCGTCTTCTGCTGCCTCGTTCTCGAGACCTAAAGACTCCCCATCGGATCCAATGAGATTCTCCTCCGCATAGCTGGACGAGGCATCATCCTCGAATATGCCCGCGATTGTTCGTTGCGGCGCGGCTGGTTGCTCTGGTCTGTCCAATCTCATCTCGTCAGAGTCAGCCGGTGTATCGTCGCTTTCGCCCAACGAATTTGAGTCGGGCTGAGCTACCGCCTTCTGCGCTGGTTTCCGATGTCCCAAGTTGCCCCCGCCGTTCTCACTCACAGTTGTCGTGCGCTCCATGTCCGCATCGTGAGGGCCCCCGAGCCGCTCCCTCAGCGGGGCACTCGTATGATTGCGAGTGAAATACCCAAAACTGCCATCCGCGCTGTTAACCCAGTCTGCGGTTCGGTCTTCATGATCCTGCCTGCCAGACGTTGCATCGACGTTGTGCAGCAAATGGCCCGCCGGCTCCGTCACCAACGTGGGCCCTTGGTGGTCGCCAGCATCCCCGTCAGAGTCCTCCTCCGACTTGTCGCTGCTGGGATGAGAATAGACATCCCTGCTGGTCCTCGTCTGCGGCAATTGTGAAGTCCGTTTTCGCACTGGAGGCAGCGGCCTCGAGCTCCTCGTTCTCATTCGTGAAACTGTGGCGCGGCTCATTTCCAGGTTGAAATACTAAGGGCGACTCAGGGTCGCTCAGATGGTTGCAGACGTTGAGACAGATTTCAAGAATTTGGAAGCACGCTTTTTGAGGATTTCATAGGCATAATCGTGCCGGTTGAGAAGAATAGGCTCAGCTGTTGATTGTTCTTGCGTGAACGCGTGTTTTGGACAGGTGCGATAACGTAACTATGCTGGTTGTTCACTTGCCTACCCTAGGCGCCATCAATGTGAGGCGCGTTTTACAAAATTGAGAGCGAATTATGCCTATCAAATACTACACTGGGCTTCTGGGATAAGCACCGTATTATTATGTCCTGCTTTCCATGGAAAGTGGAACAGGAGAAGTATTGACATTCAGTCACGGTAGCGCGGCCGACTCTCACAAACTTGTTTATGAACTGGGTGTGTTAACACGGGTCCGCCCTCGCAGGTTTTATTCTGTAGCGTCCTTTCAGACATATAAATGATTAAATGCCTTGGGCGCTGCACTTTTTACACAAGTCTAAATTGTCATCAAAAGGCTAGGGCATCTGATCACAACCCAGCACCCGCATTCGCACTTCCGGATATCCTCTGTGGCGTGTTTGAAGACCAAATGGAGACGCGCCAACAGATGCTGCGACCTCAACGGGATGACTAACCACATCGTCATCCTCAAGCTCAACCCTCTCACACGACAAGCTCACGAACTCTGGGATTCCCATCCAAGCAGTAATATTGACATGGCCTCCGCATCATCCACAACAGGGCCAAAGCCTCTTCCGAAGCTGCCCCGCCTCGATCTCACAGCCCCTCACACGTTCACGACGCCCATCAAGCGCATCCACGAGGGCACAGACGTCTCACAATTTCTCACATCTCTTGCCTACCGCGATATCGGCATATTCATCCTGCAGCTCAATCATGCGCTCGTGCCACGCCAGGACGAAAATGGCAAGATCCACACGTTCAGCCTGCCCAACGCGCCGTCGTCTACCCCGTCCATCAAAGCCCTTCAGGAGCTTCTGAAGACGGTGGAGACATACATAGATGAGGCACCACCTGACCCGGGCCCACGGAGATTTGGAAACGTCAGTTTCCGGAAATGGCACGAGCTGCTGGAACAAAGCATGGAAGGACTGCTAGGTGATGGTCCCTTAGCCAATACCTTGAAAGCTGGACATGGCACGGCAAGGCAAGAGGTTGCCAGCTACTTCCAGGGCGCATGGGGTAGCTCCCAGCGACTCGACTACGGAACTGGCCATGAGTTGAGCTTCTTGGCGTTTCTAGGATGCCTTTGGAAGTTGGGATATTTCAATGACGGGGACTCGCAAGACGACGGCGCCTTGGAGCGTGAGATTGTTCTCTCAATCATCGAGCCGTAAGTGCACCCCGACGGCCCATACCATTCTCGACTGACGTGCATGCTAGCTACCTCTCTGTCGTTCGAAAGCTCATCCTCACGTACACTCTGGAGCCCGCTGGCTCCCATGGCGTCTGGGGTCTCGACGACCATTCTTTCCTCCCATATATATTTGGCTCAGCACAGCTTGCCCGCCCGATATCCTCACCTTCAGAACCCACACCCCTCGAGGGATCTGTACGAGGCGCACCTCGCCCTAGTGCTGTGACGGCACCTCAACAAGTGGAAGACTATCGCCAAAGCAACATGTACTTTGCCGCGGTTGGTTTCATCAACGATGTAAAGAAAGGGCCATTCTGGGAGCACTCGCCGATACTATTCGACATCTCAGGAATAAAGGACGGCTGGGGCAAGATCAACAAAGGGATGGTCAAAATGTTCAACGCCGAGGTGCTCTCCAAATTCCCGGTCGTGCAGCATTTCCCATTTGGATCACTCTTCTCGTGGGAACAGGATCCGACAGCACCTACGCCCACGCAGAGCGTGCACATGGCAAATCAACCAATCGCTGCCGCTGCCGCTGCCGCACCGGCCTCGGCCACCGGCACTGGCGCGCCATGGGCGCAAGCCACGAGAATGCCAGCCGCCACAGGACCAGGCGTACCATACTCGCGTATGCCTGCGGGCCCGAGCTCTGGGTCGCTGGGCGCCAGACCTCAGCCCAGAGATAACAGATCACCGGGGGAGACATCCACGGAGCCGCAAATCAGCGTGACAAAGGCGCCGTGGGCTAAGTAGAAGTTGTATATAGAACACTAATTGCATCGCAACACCAAGCCGCACTTAATCGCGGCAAGGTCATGGGTATAGATCTGAACACATTGCATCGCTCGCACATATCCAACAAAGTGACAGTGCTCTTTAAGCAGTCGCAGCCGGCGCGGCAGGAGTCGTCTTCTCCTCCTCGGTAGGCAGCTCGGCCGCGGGAGCCGCAGGGGCCTCCTTGGTATCGGCGGGCAGCTCAGTAGCAGGGGCCTCCTTGGCAGGCAGCTCTGCAACGGCTGGGGCAGCGGGAGTCTCCTTGGTCTCGGTAGGAAGCTCGGTAGGAGCAGCCTCTTCCTTCTTGGGCTCTGCGGCAGCAGGCGCAGCAGGGGCGGGATCAGCTAGCATGGTCAGGTTGAGTTGTCCATCCATGATAGCAAACTTACCAGCAGCGGCAGCAGGAGCAGGAGGTACGAGACCAGCCGCCGTGGTCACAGCGGGATCCTTGGGAACAGCGTGTGTAGCAGCAGTGGCAGCGTCTGTGGCCTTGGGCTCCTCGACAGCAGACTTGGTGGCGTTGGGGTCGGCAGTGGGATCAGCAGCGGGCGCGAGGCCAGCCGCCGTGGTCACAGCGGGATCCTTAGGAACAGCGTGTGTAGCAGCGGTGGCAGCGTCTGTGGCCTTGGGCTCCTCTACAGGAGGCTTGGTGGCGTTGGGGTCTGCGGTGGGATCGGCAGGAGGCATGAGGCCAGCGGCGGTCGTGGTGTTCTTGTCGTCAGGGACCGCGTTTGTGGCAGCCTCGAGAGGCTTGGCCTCGGTGGTCGCGGGCTGCGTCGCGTCGGCGGCCGGCTTGGATTGGGTGGGCTGCGCAGGCTCGCCAGACTTCTTCTTCTTGAAGACAGCCTTGAGCTTGCCGACAATGTTGTCGAGAGCACCGGGGGCTAGGAGGGTCAGCAACGATGCGCAGAGTTGTTGAATGCGCACTTACGAATGCCAGGCATGGTGGAAGTTGGTGGTTATTAGCCTGTGAAGCTGTTAGCCTTTCAGGGTCCAGCTGAGCTTTCGGGAGCTTTCTCGTGAGAAGACAGCACCCGCGCGTACCTTGGAGAAAGAATAGATGATATTGACGCGAAATGCTCGCAGAGTCCTGAGAAAGAGACAGAGGTTTGGGTGCGGAGAGAGGAAAGGAGACAAAGGACGCGACTGGAGATGAAATCCCGTGGTTCGACTGCAATCAATGGGGGCACTGCCTGCATGTCATTTCGGGACATGAAGGCCCAGACGCTAGCGTCATACCACGTCTGGACTCTGGACTCTGGTGACATGGACTCTACCCATCTACTTATTTGCTTAATTCTGACGAGTAGTGAGCGAGAAGCTGCAGGTGAATAAGCACCTTCTTTAAAACTTACTGACTGCGATGCTCTTCACAGTCGGATATGCCCATGGTGTGAAAGTATTGTGGGAGACTGAGAGCTGGCATGCCTTTAGCCGCCGGGGCCACACCCGTGACCCGACAGTGCAACATCACGAGAGCTTGACAGGCGCTAAATTACGGCTCCATGTGGGAGGCCCGGCCCTCGTGTCTGTGAAAGTAGCGGTGGGGTCAGCCACTGTAGTATATCGCTGAATAGTCAATGCGTAGGATTCATCCGTCTATCTGCCCCCTCAAGACGTGGTGAGGTTAGTCGTGTAACCAGACAGTACGTAACGGGTGAATGCTAACAGCGCGAGAGAACCAGGGGGTCTAGTCGAGATTGTGAATACGTATATAAGTTTTGTATTGTTGATCCCTTACATCAACAGGTGTTGGTCCAATGGTCTAGTGGTATGATTCTTGCTTTGGGTTGTTTAAGCTCAACTGCAAGAGGTCCCGTGTTCAATCCACGGTTGGACCCTTTGTTTTGCACTTTTTGCCTCCTGCATTGCAAGTGGATTGAGTTCATTGTCCTTTTGCTTTCCCTTCTTTGCGTGTTTTTTGGGGGTGAAATTTCGTCACTCAATGCCTCTATTTGAACTCGTCCTGAGTCTAGTTGCAAGATCACTATCCGTACATCGGGGGAGCATTGCGGACGTAGTTTGCGGCAGCATCGTAAGAACAGATTTTCTTTTCCTCAATTTTTCTTCTTATTTCCTCGACAGACTATCAAATAATTTCAACATCTCATTACAGATACTCACTCAGTCCGCATTCAATAACATTGCGTCCCGATGCTATTCACTTTTACCGAGTACGTACACCACCCAAGACCTGTCTAGATCATGTGACGATAAGAACATGAGCACCCAGGGGAAATTGACGCCAGCGTACTTGTGTCTCTCTGATTTCATCTCTATTCTGTTCCCCCCGTTTCCTCACCAATCTCATCCACACTGACAAGTCTGGATCCTTTCGTGACGACCCCAGCCAGCTCGTCTATGCTGTTCGTGCTCCACATGACCAGCAAAGGCAGATTGACCTGCAGGTAAGCGCTGATCCAGTTTCGCAGCTCAACACCAACAAGCGAATCCACGCCGTACGAGTCCAAACTTCGCGCTGAGATGATCTCGTCGGGCCTAAGAGCGAGAATTGTTGCCAATTGCCTGACAATTGCTCCGCGCACAGCGTCCAATGCCTCCTCATACGTCTCTGCCGCCTGCAGCGCGGACCCAACGTCATCAGCAGCGCCACCCCTCTGTCTGCCGACCTGTTTCTCGCGGCCGAGATGTGCAAACTTCTTGTCATTGGTCCAGTACATCGCCTCGAGGCCGCGCTCGTTACCGGAAGGTACTAAACCGACCGACGACTGGCAGTGTCCTGTTTCATTCTGGATGACGTGGCCGAGATGAGATAGGAACTCGGCAATCGTCACATTGCCTAGGCCGTTTCGACGGAGGGTCGCGGCCACCTCTGGGTTCTCACTCACGTAGCCAGCCTCGGCAATGGCACCGACGTTGATCGAGTATGCCGGCAAACCAAGTCGCTGACGGTAGTGGGCGATTCCATCCTGGTAGGAGCAGGCTGCGGCGTAGTTGCTTGAGCCAATGTTGCCGACGATGGACACCACCGAGGAGAGCATGACGAAGAAGTCCAGGTCGTGGGGCAGAGAGGTGTGTAGGTTCCACGTGCCCCGGACCTTTGGACTGGTCGCTTTGCACCACTGCTCCACTGTCATGTCATCCAAGAGAACGTCGTGCAAGACCATGGCGGCCTGGATGAGCCCGCGGATGGGTGGCAACGTGTCCCGGATGTTGGTCAGCGTTCGGTCAAGCGAGTCTTCCAGAGTTACATCGCACTGATCGACCCGGACAGTGACCCCCAAAGACTCAAGCTTGTTTAGGAAGCTGTGGGCTTCAGAGTCGACCTGCGCCGAACGGGAGAAGATGACAATGTGACGAGCCCCTTTTTCTGCCATCCAATCGACTATCCGCCTTCCTAGACCTCCCAAGCCTCCGACCACGAGATACGTCGCATCCGAGTGAAGCTGAACAGGCAGAGGCTTTGGTTCGACGACCTGTGTTTTTTTTTTCAAATCAGTATCACGTCCTTATTCCACATTCGAAGCGCCTTTGAAAGCAGTGCACCTACCTGGACCTTTTGCTCTGGCTCTACCGTCAACAGTACTTTGCCCGTGTGCTTGCCAGCCTGAACGAGGCGAAATGCTTCTCCAATCTGAGAGATGGGGAATTTGGTCAGTTTCACGGGCTGGACAGCCCTGCTAGCGAACAGCTTGTGGGCCAGACTTTTCCTGGTGACAATGACATGCGCCAAGTCGACGTAGGCGAACGTAATGTTGTTGAGCAGGAACTCCATAGGCATCAGGGCATTTTCCATCAGGTCCTTGCGCCCAATTTCCACGAACCGACCAAACGGTGCAAGCGAGTTGCATGACTCACGGAACATTTCTCCGCTGAGAGAGTTAAGGACGACATCCACACCGTAACCGTTGGTTAAGCTGTGGATCTTATCGCGGAAAGACGTGGTGCGGCTCGAGAAGATGTGGTCCTCAGCGATGACAAACTCTGTAATCAACAACTGCGTTTTCGTGTCATTACCGCAGGTGACAAAGATGTCAGCACCAATGTGGCGGGCAAGCATGATGGCTGCTTGGCCGACCGCTCCAGCTGCGGAGTGGATGAGGATGCTCTCGCCCTTCTTCAACTTGCCAGCATATACCAGACAGTAGTAGACCGTGGCCCAGACAATGGGAATCGAAGCAGCGTCCACCAGGTCCATCTCTTCTGGGATGATATGACAGCAGTCTCCGTGGACGACGGGGTAATTTATATATGACTGGGAATACAGAGCGCAGACGCCATCTCCAGGCTTGAACCGGCTTGTCATGTTGGCCCCGACATCGAGCACGACGCCGCTGCAGTCATTCTGCATCTGCGTTATGCCTTCAAGCTGGCCCGAGGCAATCAGCACGTCCTTCAAGTTGACACTTGCGGCGCACAGCTGCAGCCTGATGTGGTCGGGGTCGAGATCGCCAGCGATCTCGGAGTTATCCACCCATCGAATGGTGTCCAGCACACCTGGGACAGCCAGCTCTGCCGACATGGCTCTCTTGTTTATGAATGGAGCTTCTTCCGCGGGCAACTCACCCATGTCTCGACGGATGTGGCTGTCAAGACCTGGCTCGGGCCGAACACGGGAGACAAACAGCTGGCCCTCTTTTTCCACGAACTCAAGCTCGACCTGGACGATTTCGCTCGAGTCTTGGAAGATGAGCTGCAGGCGGGTACGCAGCGGACGGCAGAAAAGGAGGACCCTGTCTCGTTCGAGCTCTGGGGCGTGGAGACAACCATGTCTAGATTCGACTTGGATTTGTCACTCGCAGACATTGCATACCAGTGCCAAGTAACGCCTGAGCAGATTGAGGATGTATACCCTTGTACTCCGATGCAAGAGGCGCTGTTCGCCATCACAGCAAAACAGCCAACGACATATACATATCGTCAGGTCTTCCAGGCAAGTCGCGAGGTGGACTTGTCGAGGTTCCGGTCGGCGTGGGAGGCAGTGGTCAAAGTATTACCTATCCTGCGCACTCGAATTGTCCTGGACCGCAAGAGCGGATTTCTTCAATCAGTCATCGACGCCCCCCTCGTATGGCATACAGGCAACAAACTCGACGCTTACCTCAAGATGGACATGGCCAAGGGGTTCGAGCCGGGCCAGCCTCTTCTGCGATGCGCACTCATTCAAGAACAGAACTCGGACGCGCAGTCCTTTATCTTGACTACCCACCACAGCATGTTCGACAAGTGGAGCCTTCAGAAGGTATTCCAGAACTACCTCTACCCGGCCTATGTGGGAGGTGCGATGGCAAAGGTGATACCATACCCAAGGTTCATCCGCTATCTTCTCGATACCGACTTGGAAGCTGCCTCGCAGTACTGGAACCGCTTGCTGGCAGACGTTGATGCGTTCACCGATTTTCCATCGCTGCCTCCTGGTCACCAGTCCAAGCCGACCTCGCTGCTCAAGCGTACAGTACGTGTGAAGGACCTCGCGGATCTCCAAACGCCATTTCCCAGTCTACTAAGGGCAGCGTGGGCTCTCACAGTGGCCCATTATGCCGCCGCAGAGGACGTCATGTTTGCTGTCAACCTTTCAGGCCGTTCGGCACCTGTTGCGGACATCACAGACATGGCTGCCCCTACTTTCACAACAGTTCCTGTCCGAGTCAAAGTAGACGGCACGCAGAGCGTCCAAACCTTCTTGCATGATGTCCACCGAGAGGCCGTGGAGATGATACCTCATGAGCACATTGGCCTGCAGAAGGTCAAGGACCTCGTTCCTACTTTCAATCCAGCAGATCTGAGACACCTGTTTCTCGTGCATCCTGCAATGGATGCTGATGCGTCTATTCGTGTGCCCGGGTTTGAACAGATCGACATGAGTTTGGAAGCACAGGGCGACTATCCCCTCGCAATCACCTGCAAGGTGGATGACAGCGGGAGCGAAGCGGCGGTGGAGGCTCGTTTTGACGAGACTGTCCTTCACAGTGACCGCTTGGAATCTGTCTTGCGACAATTCGAGCATAATGTCGCTCAGCTCGGTAATTCCACGGTCCGGGAGCAGTCCATCGGAAGTCTCCCCCTGGCGAACCCACATGACCTCGAGCAGATCTCAAGGTGGAACCCAGACATCGAAGAGACCCCCCCCCGACCTGGGTTGCGTTCACGGTCCTGTTCTCAAGTCTGTCCGGGAGCGTCCCAATGCGCAAGCCATCTGCAGTTGGGACGGACAGCTCACGTATCAAGAGCTCGACGCAATGGCCAGGACCCTTGCCCAAGTGCTTGTGACGGATCGAGGCGTTGGGCCCGAAGTAGCCGTCGGCTTCTGCATGGACAAGTCGCGGTGGGCCATTGTCGCCATGCTGGCCATATTGTATGCTGGCGGCGCGGTCGTGCCTCTTGGTGTTCAGCTTCCAACGGAAAGACTGAGGGTCATCGTGGAGGACTGTTCCCCTGCTATGATTCTCTGCGATGAGGCACATGTGCAGAAATTTGAGGCGCTGGGCCTGACTGACAACACCGTGATTGTGAGTAAGTCAACACTCCAGCAGATGGAATCGACACACAAAGATCAATCTCAGGACATTCCCTTCACATCAGTCCGTCCCGAGAATATGGCCTGGATCATGTACACCTCTGGGAGCACAGGACTTCCCAAGGGAGTCGTACTGGAGCACAGGAATCTGCGTTCCAGCCTCGTGGGGAAGGGCAACATATGCAACATGGATCCAACAACCCGCGCATTCCAATTCAGTGCTTACACATTCGACGTCTCCATCAGCGATATCTTCATCACCTTGGCCTGTGGGGGTACCATATGCGTGCCTTCAGAGAGCGAGCGGATGAACGATCTGATCGGGACCATACAGCGGCTCAATGTCAATTTCCTCAATATCACGCCCAGCACGGCGGCACTAATTCCTCCATCAGATGTCCCGGCCGTCAAGATGCTGGTACTCGGCGGTGAGCATGTCAACCCGGCCTTGGTGGAGCAGTGGCTGCAGGCTTCAAAGGCCACTCTCGTCAACAGCTACGGTCCAGCCGAGTGCTCCATTGCTAGTACTGCAAACGCGCCGCTGGGGAACAAAGACGACTCGACCATCATCGGCAAGGCTCTACCTAGTACGAGCACGCAGACTTGGGTCGTAGATCCTCATGATCACAATCGCCTAGCACCTGTAGGTGCCGTCGGAGAGCTCCTCATTGAAGGTCCGAATCTCGGACGTGGCTATCTCAATGATGCAGTCAAGACGTTGACATCGTTCATCACTGACCCCAAATTTGTCGCCCACGTCCGCTCTGGCAGTAGAAGTGTCCAACGTCGAATGTACCGCACGGGAGATCTGGTACGGTACAACAGCAATGGCTCCCTCACCATGCTTGGGAGAGGCGACTCGCAAGTCAAGATCCGCGGCCAGCGGGTTGATCTAGCCGAAATCGAATCCTGCATCATGAAACTTGTGCCCGATGCCAGGACCGTGGTGGTGGAATACTTCAGCCCCAACGACGACAAACGTGCACTTGTCGCCGCCATTGAGCTGCGCGGCCGACATGGCAGCGATGTGGCAAGCATGTCTGGATCGCTGAGGATATCGCTCGCTGAGAAACTCCCGTCGTATATGGTACCAAGGGTGTATATGCAGATGGATAAGATACCCAAGACAGCCTCGGGCAAGACCGACCGCCGAGCGGTTCGCCAGTTCATGGCCGAGGGGGGCTTCCAAAGTATGGAGAATGTGCATCCCGAAACACCAGAGCCCGGAAAGGTGGACGGCGACCGAGAGGTTCTTGTCCGTAGAATGTGGGCGGGCGTGTTGGGCATGGAAGAATACAGCATCGACCGACAGGACAACTTTTTCGACCTGGGCGCTGATTCCATCAGTGCCATGAAGCTCGTCGCTGCAGCGAGGCCGGAGGACCTTCACATTCGGGTTCTTGACGTTTTCCAAAACCCAGTATTGTAGAAATTGGCGGCGGCCACCAGCCTCGCTAATGGATCGGTACCTCAACAGGCTTCACAGCAAGACTAACGTCCTTTCCAGCTGCTGGGCGGCGTGGAGGGCATTGAAACCTTCCTGAGAGATGTTGTGTGTCCAGTGACACAAACACCCGGGATCTCGATCGTGGACGCCTTTCCAGCGACTGATGCCGTTGCGTTCAATGTCGTTGGCGCACTGACGTCTTCACAGACCGAAGTCAATACATTCTTTCTCGACACAGATGCTGTCCTGGATCTGGATCGACTGCAGAAGAGCTGTATGATGTTGATAAAGCATGTGGAGGCGTTCCGGACCGTGTTTGTGCTCGATCACAATGATGGAAAGCTCCTCCAGGTCATCCTGGACTCATATCAACACAAAGTCCAGAATGTCATGGTCAAGGATTCGATCAAGTCTTCCACCCAACGCCTCTCAGAGAGCGACTTTTGCCGGCCTTTTCAACTTGGACGCCCCATGATAGACATGGCCATCCTCCACCATGAGGGGAGCAGCCAGACACGCGTCCTGTTCCGAATGTCGCACGCTCTGTACGATGGACTATCTCTTCCGATCATATGGGACACTCTTCACGCGCTGTACGATAGGCAGGGCGCCCTTAAGACGGATCTGAGCCCATTCTCCGCCTATCTCCATAATCTGCTGCCACACACGACCGACAAAAGCTACACATACTGGCGAAGCTTGCTCGAAGGATCCGAAATGCCCGCGCTCAGCCCGGTCAACAAATCCAACACGCAAGGGCCAGTGCCGATGGCTTTTACAGGGAAAAAAACCGTCGCAGTGTCAAGATTGAAGGATACGGGCATTACCATCTCGGCCGTCATCAACTGCGCTTGGGCGCGTGTGCTAGCCCAGTACACCGGGAGGAACGATGTAGTGTTTGGTGACACGATTTCCGGCCGGAACCTGGTAGACCATGCGATAGCCAGTACACTCGTCGGCTGCTGTGCCACCCATGTCCCCGTACGGGTCAAGCTTGACAGGTCCGGCAAGCAGACATTTCTCGACTTGCTGCAGCAGGTGAGGGATCAGCAGCGATCTCGAATCGCCCATGAAGGGCTCGGGTTCCGTGCAATCATTCGCGATTGTACGCACTGGGTCCCCTCTACTCGTTTCACCTCCATTGTCAACCACCGACCAGGTACATCGTCGGCCAAGTCCGCCGGTGGCGAGATGGCATTCAGTGTCGGTGTTGTCGAGGCCGAAAATAAACCACTCACAACCTGGTACGACCTTGCCGTCATCTCTGAAGAGCACGAGGGCGCTGTGCAGCTCAGCCTGGGTTATTCAACCGTGGCGTTCAAGCAAGAGTTGGGTGAAGCGCTGCTGGCTGATCTTGCCGACACGGTGGACATTCTTGTGAATGCTGCGGCTTCAAAGTCTGAGCAGGCAGCTTTATACGGAACAGAGGCCTTGCCCAAGTCCATGATGGCTCCCGACAACTGGCAGCCGCTCGACAAACTTGGGAAGTATAGTCCGCAGGCAGAGGTTGTAAAGAATGACACATCCTTGGAACCAACAGTTGATATCGGTCTCGTTACGCTCGAAGAGATCTGGTTCCCTGTTTTTGTTTCCAAAGTCGGAAAAGCAGAGTGGCCGCTGGCCGAGAGTGGTCCAACACGAGAGATGCGCCAGATGCCGTTCTACGACCTGGGAGGAGACTTGGTTGACGCTGCGTATTTCGTTGCACTGATTGAACGCCGCAGAAAGACCTTGAAACGGTCTTTGAAGGGGGAAAACGCTACAGATTCAGACGCAGAAGAGGTGACGATCGATCATGTAGTTCTTCATCCCAGTCTGGGAGACTTTGCTGCCTTCTTGCACGAGAGACAGATTGAGCTAAACTGAAACAGTGTAGTTGTATGAAATATACCAAGTTCCCAGGCTGCCGTTATTTTATTGAGCAGACACGATTGACTTGACCTAATTCTCCTCGCGCTCGGGTTCTGTCTTTGGCCTCTGCCATCCTTTGTCCCTCAGCATTCTCGTAAAGGTTTTCGCAGACATGCCGTTTTCGGCCCTTTTAGCCTTCATCCATTCCGTGATCACCAAGCCGGGGCGTTTCATAACGCGGTCTTTGAACTTCTTCGGGATAACAGCTCCAACTCCAAGTCTACCATTGGTCTCGGACGCTTTCTCCAGGATTGTGGTGCTCGCTCGGACGTATGTCTCGGCGACCTCAACCCACAACCTCCACTCATTGTCGCTTCTGGCCAGGACTTGTGGTAGAAGTCGCCGTCGATGGAGCACGCGTTGCAAACGAGCTGCTGGATATCGGCGAAATAGCCCTTGTCACAGAGGCTCCGAATCGCGAGACTTTGTTAAAATCAATAATCCAAAGCTGGATCCCGCGGTTTCGGAAGCTAGGCTGGTTCTTGTCATTCACTCCCATGTTTCGCATTCGTGTCGTGGACTTGGCCAAGATATGTCGTCGATCTTCTTTGGGCAAGGGGGAAGGCCCAGGTCTTCCTCGCGCATGGGATCGGCTCCCGATCACGTACTCCACGCCGAGCATGTCGAAGCCAGCAGACCGATGGCCAGCTGCTAGGCCTAGGGCCATATCCCGGGCAATGAGAAAGGGGTCCATGTCAAGCTCCTCCAGCATGTCAAGGTACAGGGGAAAGTTTTGCAGACTCTTGCATTCCTCTTCTCTCTTATCAGGGCTTACGTCCTGTGATGTAGAGACTAGGTAAGGCCGACAGAGGCACGCCTTTTTCTTGTCGTCAACGAGAGCCTCAGCTTGGTCCTTTGGCTGGAAGTAGTGGCGAATAAGATTTTCACGAATCACTTTCCGGAGGGGCATGATCCGTTCCAAGCACATTAATGGACCAGGTTTCTGGCCTCTATCCTCCACGGGAAATCTGTGGCCATGTTCTTCAAACCACCTTTTAGGGCTTTCGTCATCTTCCATGCCGTATGTGGCGATGTAGCGAGGTACTCTTGGCATGAGAGTATTGGGAAACTTTCCACTTGCCAGGAACGCCAACCATGCTTCATCGTTGACAGATTGGCAAATCATGTTGCCGTGTGAGTACTCGAGATATAATGTTTTGGGGGAGGTAAACGCCTCCTTCAGGCAGTACTCTGTGCCGGGAAGTTCATAGACAGTACCAAACGAGCCACGCCCGATTTCTTTCAGCTTCAATGTCTTGGGGTCCGCTCGGCGTAGAGCCTCGATGCGCTCAGCGAAGGAGGAGCTGGTCGATATCACCGAGCGCACTGGGATCGTACGCCTCAAAATGTCGAGGGGCTTTTCGGCGCCATCGGCGGACAGTTTCGAAAAAAAGGGTTCTTCGGTTGCTCGACGCACCGTATCCACTTGGAGGGCTTCGTGGTCGCCTGGAATCCCTAGTAAATTTGCGAAATTTACAATATCGTTGAGCGGAACGCTGCAGTCTGTTTCATCGGAACGGCCTTTCGTTCGGCGGGAAGCTGGGGAACTCATAGTGGCTTTTGCTGTGGGCTTCCTGGATGGGAAGATTGAAAACATGGGAGCGAAGTTCTGGGGACCAAGTCCCCTTTCAAGCAGGGAATCTTGGTTTTGACCTACGCGTCACTTTACGCGGTTTCCATGTGGTGTCTACGCGAGCAAGCCACTGCCTCCTTATGGGTGGATGGCCATTCTTCTAATACTTCTTGCTAGGTACTTAGGTACTGTAGCCTTTGTCCAAGACTTGGAACAAGTCACACTTCTAGTAGGGTTCGTGTTCTGGTTAGGTTTGCAAGTCCTGCGCGGGAGAGGGGCGGCTCAAAAGCAGGCTTGTATTAACGAGGCTGAAAGTGTCTGTTTGATCTCGGAGGTGGTGTAGATATTCGATTGCATGCACTTGTTGTACTGCCCACGTGCATTCACTGCAAACTGTCCGTGTGAACTCTAACCATCAATTTTGGTCTTTCACTTAGCAGAGTGACTAACTCACTTCCTCGTTAGTAACACATCAGGAAAAGTAGGAGTCACACCGCGGGCCATGTTTCAATATTGCTAACCTAATTTATGAGAATTATTGAAGTGCTGCTGAGCCTAGTTAACTAAAGTCATGATCAACCTCGACCATCAGCCGCAAATACAAGGCTTTTAACCCTCGTAGCTGACTTTCCCAACAATACACGACGCCAACAACAAACAATAATTAACCATGCAGTACAGAGAGATTGGACGTGGCACCTTTGGTGTCGTTTTTACTGCCGACGAGCAACCCGATACTGCCGTCAAGAAGAGCTTCAAAGGCAACGACACCCTTGCTGTTGAGTTCGAGCACGGCCTGGCCACCAGCTTCGCCGTGACAACAAGTGTGCCCAGCCTCGCACAGGAGCTTCCGGAACCAGTCCCCCGAGTGCCATGGTATCTTTCGAGTCACGGCATACAGAAACCGTCAGCCAAGGATCCGTGGTGGATTGCCAACGTCAAGGGGTTCCCATCTACGAATGGTGATGGCGTGCGCAATGGCGTGTTTCTGTTTGAACGCATCCCCCCAGTGCCTCGACCCCTACAAGAATCCCTCATCCGCCGATTTTGGGCATCGCCCGAGGAACAACAGGCGGCGCTCAACGACCCGAACAACAGGGACTGCATGATACGCCCGTCCCACCAGGAAAGATGGTCGTACTACCAAGCCAAAGGACGAAAGAGGCTGAACAATGAGCAAAAGGCTTCACTGCGCAACTTGCAGGCGTATGTTGACGAGCTGCAAGCCATAGGCGTTGATTGCCACGCGGTTGCGAGACAGATTGCCCTTGGGCTGGCCGTTGGTCACTGGGAGGCGCAGCATGGCATGACCGACGTTGAATTCGTTATTGCTGGCCGGTGCACGCCTCCATCGACTGCCGCTCGATCCCACACACTGCCGCTCAATCTCTACGACAAGCGAGACGACCTTGGCAATCGAACTATTGTCCCAGAAGCCCCTCCGGCCGTCCAACACGGTTTACCAGCCAGGACCCAAAGGTGGCTGGTCGATTTCGACAAGTGCAATCGTGTCCGTGTCTGGGATGACACCCTGGCGCAAGACATCCGGATGCTGGCCCTCGGGATCCGCGCCAACGACCCCTACTACCCGAATCCGCTGCCGGACACCCAGTTCGGCTGGGACGTGTTTGTGACCTTTACCGAGACGTACATTCGCGCGGGGCGGCACCTGCTGCAGCGTGCCTTTGACAAGGTGGCGACGACCGACGCGCAGCTGCAAGGTGTGCTCGAGAGGCCGGCCATGATGATGAGAGAGTCGACCAGGATCGTGATGAACGCCAAGAGGAATAACGAGAAAGACGTGTTCAATGTGCGGATGAGGCTGCGGAAAGAGCAAGGGTGGGCGAAACCGGGATGGGCTGTATAGACATTGAGTATGCGCTATAGTTAGGAATTGATTCCTTTGTGTGCAATCACAGCAGAATTGGACCCTTGAAACAGAATCAATGAAAGGGGGTATTCAAGCCTCAAGGTATAAAACTTAACTAACTTAAGGCCAGTTGTGCGTCCATAACGGCCTACCCGAGGCTACGTATCGTTCATAGGACATCACCGCTTACCTGGGAGAGGTTTTCCCACCTACTCGATTTTATTTTTTTTTTGAAATTTTTTTTTTTTCGGGTCTTTTTTCATCCGAGAAAATAAGCATCTTAGTTTTGGCCTATCAATCAGGGAGGTGAGGCGATTTTACAACCATGACCGAAGTCGAGCCTCCCCCACAAGCCGCCAACTTCGTGCAACGATCGATCACGGACAACTGCCAGGGTTGGAATATAACACAGTTGAGGCCGAGTACCAGGTTCGGAGTACACTGACATCGCCAGCTTACGCGAATACAATATATAGAAGGACCAAAGACCCAATATATCCAATTACTCGCTTCTAATATCATCGCCCCTCTCTTTTTGGCTCAAGCCCGGATGGCTATCCATCTCTTCATTCCCCGACTGCCTCCTCCTTTCTTCCGACAGGCTCTCCCCCAACCGGTTCATCAATCTATCCATGATCCACTCACTTTCCTCCTGCGAGCCCATGAGCGGGCTCCGATGTCCGACCCACGACCACTTATCACGTTCCCCATCATGCTCGTCCCCTTCCGGTGGACTAGCACTGCCTCGGCGGTCGGCCTTCTGCCTGGGCTTGATTCCTCTAAATCTGGGCCGAGCGTCCTTGGGTGATGGCTTCCGATGGGTGGCCGCGTCACGCTCGTCTTCCCCAATGAGTCGCAGGTACCATGCCCACTCCTCAAAGCTGTACTTCCTGGACTGGCCTTCGCGTATGTGCAGCGCTACTGCCTGTATCTCTGAGATGAGAAGGAATTGGAAATCCAAGCCGGTAGGGAGCTCATCACTCAACGGGTCGCGCATCCGAGACAGAGAGCGACGGACGCGGGTGGTGAATGTTGAAGGCGCGCGCGCTGGAAAGCCCGCATACTCGGGATCGAGCGAGGCCGGTCGGCCACGTCCCTCGCCATGCGATGGTTCATGGTTGTCGGCCGTCTGAGGCGGCTGCCCAAGTGATGAGGTGCTGACGACATTCATGCGGAACGGAGTCACCGGTTTCCGGGGCGATTCGAGATGGGACTTGAAAAGCAAACCGTGGGTCGTAACACTAACCGTGTGCTTGAGCTCCTTCATGACGGGCGTGTCGCCCGGCAAAATTGTCACGTTCCCGAGTGAAATGGTCGCATCGCGGATGACCTTGACAATCGTGTCGCCAGCCGTCGAGATCAGGACGGTGGTCGTGGGCAAGGCGAGGAGTGACCAGAACACGAAAAAGGACCTGCCGCCGGGCGAGATGGGGGCGTCACTTCCGTATCCAATCGTCGTTAGACTGATGAAGCAGAAGTAAAAGCCAGTAAAGTACGTCCAGCCCTGGTATGGTCTTTCGAATTTCCGAAAGATGACGGCGCCGACCAACCACAGTATGAGCCATGTACCCAGCGAGATAAGCATTGCTATCCATCGCCGACGTGTTGCTGCCTTCTCTTGGATGGTGCGCATGAGCTCAAATTCCGCTTTGCGTCGTTCGTACTCGGTAAACGGCGCGTCGGTATCCACGGGCGAAGACATGTAATTTTCATCGTCATCGTCGTCGTCTGGCGCCGCACGCTCATCTGATATGGGTTCCAACAAGGTATCCCTACCGCTACGTTCCATGCGCTTTAGAGCTAGACGCCGCCTCCGCTCCTCTATCCTGGCATCGAGCCTTTTGCGACCACGTTCGAGCATGAGGCTCCGTATAGACGCAATCACCAGACCGAGACTGATGACGCCAATGAACGCGTATGGAATAAGCAGCGCCTGGGCCACAGTGGTGGTAGGATAGTAATCGCCCAAGCCGATTGTGAAGAGCGTCACGTTCGCCCAGTACACCGTATCGAGATAGTTCCATTCCTCGAGGTGAGAGAAAAGAAGGGCACCGAGCAGGAGGTAGACGAGGAACATGACCGTCTGCAGCATCAGTGTCCGCTGGCTCATTGTGAGCATAAAATCCTTGGGATACTTGTCCTTCCACGCGCCAAAAAAGGTCGCGACCATGAGACACGAGGTCACAAAGTAGAGAATCGCCGCCCAGATGCCGTACCAGAATGCCTGGGACCAGATGTACTGGTCCTGAGGCGCGGGACCCTTCCCAAGAGACTCGCTGGCGGCTCCCAGCAGGCCTATGAGCATAATAGACGACGTATACCACCCAACAATCGTGATGGGCTGGGCAATGCTAAAGCGCACCCTTTTGGCCATGTTCAGCAGCAGAAACGCATTGGCGACTATAGCAATGGCGAGTTGCAGAGCGTTGACGACAGTGAGCCTATTTGAGGTTACATCGTTTGGAGCCCAACTCAACGACGACATTTGACATACCAATTTGGATCGTCAACAAATGAAGCCTCCGTCACCGGTGCATCGGGAGGGAGATATTGCACCCATGGGCGACATAGAGCACAGATACTGAATGCGGAAGCGACAGGCCCCAGCGTGCCCGCGATCATGGGGAATGCCGACGAGGCAAACCACCAGCGACTAAATTACTTTATCAGAATAAGTGTTGGTGGATATGGAAAGACGTCAGTATGTATGTATACCTTTGCTCGAGATGAGCTTCATCGTTTGCGACGTGATGGTTGTGGTGCAGTTGACTCTCCGCCTTTTCCGCATGCTCAGCGATGTTGTCGCCTAGATTCCCGTCGTTCATTGTCGTCGATGATGTCTGGATGGATGCTGGGCCCTTGGGTCAACGGTGATGGCAGCATGCATGGCAGTCGACCGACCAGTTTGTGTTTTGGCAATTCGCTATGGAGGCTCCAGGGATGGACGTCGCGTGACACAAAACACGGTCAAGTTCTCACGAGCCAAGAAAGGGACTCAAGATTTGATGACGTCGAGGCTTGAAGCTGAGCGCTGACAGAGAGTCTGAGGTGGAAAATATGGAGTATCCCCACATCCCGCTATCTGCATAAAGGGGCCCGCGTGACTCGACGCGCTAGTCCCGAAAAGGACCCTATTTCCAACGCGTCTCCAATGTTGAAGGTGAGGTGAGGTTACTGAGGTACCCCAGTAGACCACATATTGGTGCTCACTCACTCGCGTGTATACATGTCCCAGACCATGCGAATATGGAGTTTCTCAAAGAGCAGCTTTGTATGTGTTCTTCAAGTCTGCAAGACCGCAAGACGCTTCTCGACTCGCCACCATGAGCGCGTCGAGGTACGATGCGGCTCCTCAGGCCATGTCGCGGTAGAGTGAGTGTCTTCATCCCCCCTGGCATGTTTGTTTAGCCTCTTCTCACTCACATGCCCACGCCAACAGCCTCTTCAACGTGGCCAATAGCTCGCCCAACGCACCGCTCATCATCCATCTCCCCCCCTTTCCCACACAACAACCCACCAAGACTCAAGACCTACCAAGCGTCATCCGCGACTGGCCTGTTGCAAGCATCAACTACCGCTGGCACCAGACCACGCCACAACTCGCACCTGCGGACAACCCTCACCTGCCCATACAATGGCCATGCCCCGTGCACGACGTTGGCTTCGCCTACACCTGGCTCATCAACAACCTGCGACTGCCGGACCACACCCGCCGTGACATTTACGTCTACGGATCGTACGTGGGTGGCAGCCTCGCCACATCTCTGGCCCTGACGCAGACCACACCACACGTGAGGGTCGGTGTTAGAGGCATCGCTTGTTTCAATGGCATCTACAATTGGACAATGTTCCTCCCAGACCATCCTGTCCACAAGAAAAAGACCAGAAAGTCGACGTCGATGACAGAGGCACTCAAGCCGCCGCCGCTCGTCGAAGGCGCACATATGGAGGAACTGCTTCAGTCTATACCAGATCTCTTTCACAAACCTGCAGATCTTTTCGACGCTTTTGCCAGCCCCAGCCTCTTGTTTCACAACGCTGGACTACATATTCCCTCCTCATTCGACCAACACAATCTAACCATGGTGGATAAAATGATGAAGCTTTCCCTCAATAAGGACGAGAACTCGGTCTCGCCAGATGAGATGGTGATGAAGCCTGCTCGCAAGTCTCATCTTGTCTTCCCACCACGCGATTCTACCATCAAGATCCCCCAAACCCTCCTGATGCACACTAGTCCCATTGTCACGGACGTCAAGAAGAAATGTCGGAAAAAGCATACCTTTGAGGTGCAGGCTGAAGAGCTCGCAGATCTCATGCGCCGTAGCATTGAGAAGATAGAGTTTAAGGAACGACAAAAATGGGACGATGATACGGATAGCTGGGAAGAGGCAGCGAGGCAGCGTGTTCGATTACAGAACGTTGGTGACGAGATAGACAGCATCGTATTGCCGCTCAATGGCGAAGAGGCACTCATAGAGTGGTTAAAGGATATAGTGTAGTAAAAACTCTTGCTTATGGAAATTATACAGACGCTATATAATATGACTCGTGCTTGGGACAATGATCCAACACACCTGTTCGTACAGAATAACTCATCGTGCCCCTCCCAGCAGAACCCTGCGGTTCGACTTGATAAGGTTGTTGAGCTTCTTCTCCAATTTGTCTGTCTCCTTGCGTGCGGAGCTGAGCGCTGCCTCGGCGTCCTCGACACTCATCAAGGGCATGCCGCTGACGCCAGGGCCGCCAGGGCCCCGTGGACCCCCGTCCTCGAGCTGGCCAAAGGCTGAGCCAGAGGCGGGAGTAAAGTCTTTGCCGTCCGTGGCGCTGTAGATACCCACGCCGGCAGCCGCATCGGGGCCGTAAAAGTAGGGTGCCAGGGAGTTCAGGCTCGCGGCAGCAGCGTCTTGGCGGACGGTGGCCCTCTTGGGCATCCCATCTGTCCTGACGCCAAAGTCAAGCTTGGGCAGCACGTACTGGTTGATGTAGCTCAGAGCATCTTCACGCTGCAGCTTGCCGATGGGGTCCAGCGATTGAGGGTGGGCCAGGGACCGGCTTGTGGCTGGAAAGATGTTTGGTCGGCCATTTGGCACGGCACGTCCCTTGATAAGGGAGAACGCGCCGTTGCCAGGCTGATGACGTTGAAATACGAACGATCCCGGGTGGTCAGCTCCAGCGGCAATGGCGTCCTGCAGTGCCAAAAACTCGTCCTCTTCTTCCTCCGACAACCCGCGCACGCAATCACCATTGGGTGTGATCAGCATGCGGATGCCATCGTAGTGAAAGTGCTTGCGCACGGGTTTGCCTGACCGCAGAGTCGCCAGGTCGGCCGCCTGAATCTCTCCACACTTGCAAACGCTGTCCTTGCAGGAGGGCGTCGTGAGCTCCTTGCCCGTGTTGACCGCAGGCTCCTTGTTGCTGCGAGGACCACTGGAGGACACCGTGTTGAGCATGTGCAGCTTCTCCGCAACAGAGGCCCACAGGATGTCCTTGATATCCTGAAATACGGCGGCGGGGCCGTAGTCTTTTTCCTCTTCCTGCACATCTTCAACGACGGCCTGCTGCTCCACGATAGGCGGAGGGGTTTCGACCTTCTTCTCCACTCGCACCTCTGTGCCCTTGGACTGAGGTGCCTTGACTGGTGATGGCGATTGTTTGGCTGGTTCCTCCACTGGTGCCCTTGGCGCCTTCTTCTCCGGGGTAGGCGTTGGCTCAGCTGCCTTGGCTTTACTTGGCTTGGCTGGCTTTTCCTTCTTTTGCTTCTTCATGCGCCCCATGATCGGCGCTTGGACTTCCGCGACCGGCTTCGGCGCGTCGACCACATGCGCAACGTCTTGTTTGAGCGCTTCCTTTCGTTGCTTACGCTGCTGGCTCTTGGTGCTCGACCGGACAGCAGCGGAGCCCACCCGGTTGCTGGGCGGAGGAGAGCCAGCACGGGAGGCAGATACAGATGCCGACACCATGCTGGCGGTATCGCTTACCATCTCACTCGTTGGCGTCTCCGGACGAACGTGCGAAAGTACCCTGGGAACAACAGACACGGTTGGCACTGCAGGGGGCGCCTCGCTCTTTGGGGTCGAAAGCAGGCGGAGGGTCTTGGGGCCAGCCTTTGCAGCCTGAGCTATTGCACTCGAGCTGGGGAGAGATGGGAATGCAGCATCGTCCTTCTGTTCAGGAGTGGGCACCTCCTTGGCAGCCTTGGCAGCTTTTGTGTCCGCCGTCTTGGTGTCACGCACTTCAGACTTCACGTCCGCCTTCTGCTTCTTGTCGGAGAGCTTCGCCTGGGGAAGGCTAGTAGGCTTCTCGTGATTTTCTGTCTCCTTGCTGGCTGGCTTCGCCTTCTTCGGAATCGGGGTGCCCTTGGGTGTAGAGACCGCAGAAGCTGAAGTCTGAGGGGGAAGCGGCTTGGATGGCGTGGTCTTGGGTGCGTTCAGCGCAGGGAAGTCCTCTTCCTGCAAAGCTCCCTTTGACAGTTCGGGCTGGGCCTGGGTTTTGATTGCTTTGGACAACCCACTGTCGGCAGCAAGGCTCCTTATGTTTTTCTTGGCCTCCACCGGTGCGGCCGTCACGGGTTTCTGTCTCGCCTGCTCAGGCGTCGACACGATAGATGAAAGTCCTGGAGGCGGTCCCTTTGGCAGAGGACTGGCGGCAGCCGAGCTCAGCCTCGAGTCATCAGGCCTCATATCAAAGCCCGGTGGTGCTGTCAACACGGGTGTCCCTCTTCTGCTGCCCTGTATGAGACGGTCAAAGGTATCGTCCGACACAAGAGCATCGACAGAATGTGAGGCTTCGTCCAAGGATGGCAACTCATCGTCTAGCACACAGTTAGCCAGGCTTCCGGTGCATTTATAATGTGCGATGTCAAACGAAAATGATAAAATAGAAAGAAACTGATTCCCAGAGAGAGGCGGCTTTATGTACGTGAAAGAACGCTACGGCAGCTTCCCAATAGGTATATTCTCAGGCGAGACTGAACATGTGTATGTGTATCGTTAACGTACATCGTCGAGAGCGGGTGGAAGTCCGACGGGAGCTGTGTTGGTGTCGCCTGAAGTCTTCCACTGCTGCCGACCCGGACGCACAACACTCGTGCGTTGAACCCCAAAAATATCAAGCCAGTTTATATCATATGCGCCGCCTCCTCTCTGGGTATCATACGCGTCCTCCTACCACCTGGTATATCCTGCATTATACATCATGTTCGGGTTGTTGTACCCACCTTGACTCTGACCTCCAAATAGCCCAGGCCCGGCACCCGCATTGCTTTGAGACTGATGCTGCTGCATCCTTGCCTGAAGGATACTTGGGTCCGCAAGATCAACTAAGCCACCTCCCCCAGAGGAGGAAGTGTTAGCGTGTCTGTGCTTCTTTCCCTTCTTCTTCTGCTGCTTGGACCCATAGTCTTGGTAGGCTCCGGGCGGATTGCCGTAGAGTGATCCCAGCAGACCGGGTGCAGGGGCTGGGGAGGAGGTAGAGGAGGGTGGGTACTGATTTGAAAAAGAAGAAAGTAGGAACTCACGCTTTGCGGCATCGTTAGCTCCTCCACGACTGCGCCCGATCAGGCTCTGTAGGAGCTCGTTGGACGAGTCCTTTGGCGCACCGCCAAACCCAGCGCCTCCGCCGAATCCCTGTCCAAACATGTTGGGGGGGGTGCTTGTCGATTTGAGTCCTGGGGGCGGACCGGGCATGGAAGAAGAAGAACCGTAGAAATGATTACCGCCCTGAGCCTGATACGACGAATTTGGCATCATGGAAGACTGTTGAGCCATGATGCGTGGGTTAGCCGCCAGTTTGACATTTGTCGACGAGTTGCCACCCTCGTTCGCAAAGCTGAACCTGGATGATTGCCGATTGTGGCCTTGCCCTTGGAAAGACATGCCAGGGGGCGGTTGGTCACCAAATCCGGCTTGGCTCCTCATGGAAAACAGCTGTTGTGGTGTCATGGAGCGACCGGGCTGCGGAGTGCCCAGGGCCGGGCCAAACAGACCATCGCCGTGGGTGCGCTGGATGGGTGGTTGTGCCTGTGTTCGGTGATGGTCATACGCATGGGTTTTGGTGTCAGGCTCTCTCTCCTCGGGTTCACCGCCAAGCGCGAGGCTACCGCCAGTCTCGGGCTCATCTTCCGAAGCTTCCTGCACCTCCGACTCGTCAATCTGCTCTGAGGACATGGCGGCTTCATCCTCCCGCATGGCGCGACGCCTCTCGCCACCACGAACGTCGAAAAGGGGTGGAAACGTCGGGTCTGGCTCGGGAAAGCTGGGCATCGTCCAGCTCGCCAAGGTCTTGAGAAGTGCTCTAACGGCCCCTTCGGGATATCGTTGGTAAACGTCCTCGCTAGGTGGCTGTTCCGATTCGTTGCTCGAGCTCGTCGCGGGTCCCGCAGATGGTTCCCGTTGTGAACCCGATTGCGACGGTGGCGCAGAGTCCTCGACGACGGCTTCTTCGGGCTTGCTTGTTGCGGCACCGGCTGGCACTGCAGATGTTATCGCAGGACTGGGAGCAGCACCACTCGTGGCATGACTGCCACGGCGACTGCGCTGGGGATTCCTAGCCCAGCTAGCTGTCGAAGGCAGCGCAGAAGAATCGACGGCTCCGCCAGTGTCGGAGCCCTCCTTGCTGGCGGATCGGGCCATGGACTGGGACGCAGGCGGCGGTGTCGGATGTGAGACCTGCGCTCGGGAGGCTGCCCGCGACGATGAACCGACGCTTCCGCTGGGTAAGGGTCTTTGGGTGGCGATGCTGTTCATCGAAGAAAGGTCTTGACGAGTGTAACTATCCTCCTCGTCGCCTTGCTCGTGTAGGAACATGCAGCCTGGGTTGTTGCACTTTTCGTTTTTCAACCAGGCTGAACAGTACTTCGTGGTGCCGTATTGAGCTTTGAGATACCGATCGCCGTTGAGTGAGCCGTGCACGGCTTGTATACAGCGGGTGGCTTCATCGGGCCTCTCGAATGTAACGTAGATGCCGAGAGACTGGGGCTGGCCATCCGGGCTCTTTCGATTGCTGATGGAGATTTTTTGGATGTTGCCGTACTGGCCAAAGAACTCGGGCTTCCTCAGAGTCTTGAGTAGTTCGTCTTCTCGGACAGTCGGTGCCAGCCCGGTGATGTACACCAGGTTCTTCTGTACGACGCGGACGCCGACCAGATTTTTGCGGTTCTCCTTTTCCGCTTCGCGTTTTTGCACTTCCTTTTGCCGTTGCTCAGTCGCGCGCTTCTTCTGGTTCTTTTGAATGTTGGCTCTGAATTCGGCGACCCTGATCCTCACCCGTTAGTTATGTCATTGTAATTCCGCCAGGGACACGCACTCTTCCGATGTGACAACCTTCCATTCGATTGTCTTCTCGTCATATGGCCGTCGACACGCTGGACAAAGCCCGTTCATGTTGTTCTTGATATTGTTGAAACAAAACTGGCAGACCTGCAAACGACAATGAGCCAGCTGACTCTGCACAGAAGCAGTGACAGGGAAATCACACCTGATATCCACAGGGGCATGGCCGGAAACTTCGATCGGACAGGTCGAACTCTTCGATACAAAGAGGACTAGAAGATCGGTTAGTGTCTGCATAAGGAGCTAGCTGCCCAAAGAAAAGCTGCGTAACGCGCTGGCATTAGCAGCACTGGGGCAAGCCATACCAGGTATCGACCTCCTCGTCGAAGAAGGAGTCTTGTGGCGCCATCTTGCCAGTGTGGTTTGTGATTATCGGTATTAGGAAACGTGTGCGGTGGTGAGAAGCGTAGGTGAGTTAATGCACAATCAAACAGAAACGTTTACAGACGAAAGTTCAAGGTGCAGCGACGCTCCCGGTTCTGCTAGCGCCAGCTCAGCCTGTCACCTGACTTGCGTGGTGAAGGCAGGGTCGGCGGATCCTCGGGTAAAGTGGCCAACCGCGGGCCAGACGTTGCAATCACCCCGAATCAATCATTCGATCATTGACAACATCTTTCTCTGGCACCCGTCCACTTTGGAAGCGGCAATTGGTCTCGTCACGTCGCAAATTAGATCATGGCGACCAGAATCAGTCGAAGCGGAGCTTTTGCTTCAGCTCTGCGGCCCTCGAAACCGTCCACATCATGCCGCGCCGCCCACGTCCTGCGCCCTATTTCGACAACCGCTGCTCGCAATGTTGTGATGCCGGATGCTCAAGACCTGCGCAAGGCCCCCCGCGATACCATTGGCACCCTCGAGGCCCCTATTGTGAACCCGGCCGATAAGTACCAGAGTAAGGCGGACAACTTACACCGCTACGGCGCCTGGTTGATGGGCTGCATGCCCAAATACATCCAGCAGTTCTCCGTGTGGAAGGATGAGCTCACGATCTACATTGCACCATCTGGTGTCATCCCGGTCTTCACCTTCTTGAAGTGTAAGACAACTCGCCCGTGAGGTTCTGTCGCCAGCTGCTAACAGGCGACCAAAGTCAACACCGCTGCTGAGTTTACCCAGTGCAGCGCCGTCACAGCTGCCGACTATCCGACACGCGAGAACCGGTTCGAGATTGTTTACAACATGCTATCCGTCCGCCACAACTCTCGTATTCGCGTAAAGACATATGCAGACGAGGCATCGCCAGTTCCCAGCATCACTGGCCTCTACGCCGGCGCTAACTGGTACGAGCGCGAAGTCTACGATCTGTTTGGTGTGTTCTTCGTGGGACACCCCGATCTGCGTCGCATCATGACGGACTACGGCTTCGAAGGCCATCCCCTCCGGAAGGACTTCCCCTTGACCGGATACACCGAGATCCGATACGACGAGGAGAAGAAGCGCATTGTGACGGAGCCTCTGGAGCTGACGCAGGCCTTCCGTAACTTTGAGGGCGGTTCCAGTGCATGGGAGCAGATTGGACCAGGCGTAGACAGGACTCCCGAGTCTTTCAAGCTGCCCACTTCCAAGCCTGAAGAGAAGAAGGAGGAACCAAAGAAGTGAGCCCATCACTCGGGTGTACGACATACTTGTTAGATATAGCCTACCGTACGATTCGGCAACATTCCCAAATTTCTTTCGTCAGATCTCACTTCCTGCGCCGCATGACTTGGTTTCCTTCAAGCCTATGAAGTATGCAGAGCAGTACACAGTGTTACGTGTGCTTTCTGACTCTGACATTATGTTACCTGTTTCTTAGTCCGCACACAAAGCTACTACAGTGAATATGTCCAGGTGGGGCAAATTACAGCGGCGCTTCGCATCAAGCTACCTAAGGTACGGCGTACTGTAATGTCCATATCGGACTAGGCTACACACTGGTGGGACATGGTAGCTCAACTGGATGCTTGGCTGGCAACTTTCGTATTGCTACTGAGAGCTAATGATACTAGACCTCTAATTGATCAAATTGCCGTTTCGCATCAAAGCAGGACATTAAACTATAGCAGCTATCAGCTTTTTCGAAGATGCTATGTCAATGCTCAAGGCATCTGGAACAGCGAGTCTCTGTACAAGCCTCAGGTTGCACGTGACCTCGCACCGCTACGTCCGTCGCTGAATGGCTGCCCGCAGTGGAATTTCGCTGCACGCTAATGCGAAGCAGGCTGCTGCCGCCCTCTACTCCGTACGACGTTAACGTATCCATCCCTACGGATAAGCATTCGGAGGGATCGAGACTCGAGTAGCACGTCCCAGGTAACTCGCACTCAGTCGTCCGTCGTCCGTCGTCCGCCGCAATCCAGACAACCTTGACGAGAGGAAGGGCAGCCTCCCCATTATCGAGAACGACGACAGCTAGACGGATCGACCCGAAAAGACCCTTAGTGGTGCCCGCGCAACCGACACTCGCGAGCCTCTGTCATCCGTTGGCGCAGACCGACTCCATGCGACGATAGCAGCTTTTGGAACGTCACGACTCACAGCTAAGGCTGGTTCGAATTCTACAATCGCTTCGGTCGCTTGGGTTTAGCAGCAGGTTGCACCCTCGTCGCGGTGCCGCTCAACGCCCATGAAGGCCGAATCTTGACATCTCCGTTGGGCATCTGCAGTAGGATTCGCAAAGAAAGGGGTCCCCACCAGCCATCACGGCCTCACTTGAGGCCCACTCCGTCTACGTGATGGTATGTCAATGCTTGCATACCCGGAGGCCTGGAGAACATCGTCGGGCACCGTTCCCGCATTGCTGACTTTGACAAAATACTAGGCAGCGCCTCGACCCCACGTACAAGACGGCGGCAGCTTCGCCAGCCGTCGTGGCCATACTAGTCAACTATCGATATCCGATCCGAGTCACCATGTCACCGAAGCGATAGGAACAATGTACGGCGATGAAGATGATTCCATGAGTGATAACGGACGGCCTCTCAGTTTCATCGGCGGCTCTGGGCACCACGAGCAGATACAGACCATGCCCCAAAATAAAGACTTCCTGAGCGTGGACTCTCGGCGTCCACTGCATCGCTCGACCACGGATCATCCTATGGCATCCTCGCCTCAGCAGCATAGTGAACATGGGAGTCTCAGGAAGGTACAGACGCTGCCGATCCAAACATCAGTACAGCCAAGGACTCGCAACGACGGCAGTCCTGTGTCGCCCCGGTCTCCAACGATATCGCTGCGCGAAGTGCAAGCCGATCCAGCTACTTCGCAGTTCCAGCTGACGAACATTGACAATCCCAATGACATTGCGCAAGAACTGAGCAATTTACAGGCGCTGCGCCGGATGTCAATGGACGTAGGGAACATGAAGGATCCCGACATGCCTCCGATGGCATTATCGAAGATGCCGGCGATAGCTCCCAGCGGGGATGACGATGAGGCCGATCCTTCGCGACTGTTGTGGGTACCAGCGCGAGTGCACCCCGAACTGGCGCCCTCGGAATTTCAATCTTTCTTAGAGACCAGAGTCAAATCCATTCGAAGGACATCTCGGGACGGCTTATCTCCTCCAGACGGCGACGTCAGCCGGAGCAACTCCACCTTGTCCTTGACTCCTGGTGGCGGCTCGTTAAGGAGACAGAAGTCCATGCTCTCTAGGCAAGTCGATAACTCCCCCGACACAAGCTACGTAGACGGCGCCGAACGTCTAGAAAGGCAAAGATCCAAGGGACAGCACTCGCGAGAATTCAGCATCGAAGATCTGGTCAAGGACCCAAGCAAGACCGTACAACAACTGGCGCAGGAAACACAGCAGATACCGGAAGGAACGGAGGTCAACTCGGAAGATATGCCGATTCTGCCTATGGCGCCCGGCACAGGGTTGAGGCGATCAACACGTACGACCTACCGGAAAGGGGGCAGTTTGCGTTCTGGCGACAGGGCATCCAGGCGAACAATCCATCGCCCGCAGGATAGCGAAGCAGCGGAAGCAATACCTCCAGTCCCAGAAGCGCCCCCAGGCCACACTCTGACCCGAGTGCAGTCGGAGCCTGTGTCGGATAGCTTCTCCAAGCCAGGGCGGGCAGGTCGCAGGCCGCAAGGATTCATCCAGGATTCCCCCGTATCTCTCGCTGCACTCGAAAGCTCAAGTCAGGCGGCACCAGCGCAGGACACGCCAACCATTGTGATTCCCCGAGAGTACCAAGAGCAGCTGCCAGTTCGTACTGCGGGAAACACGCAACCAAAAGACCAGCAGCCAAGCGAAAAGAAAGATGAACCCTCATACCAGGAGAAGCCACACTCCCAGGAGCCTTGTATTGCAGAGCCGCCACCAAAATCAGCCCGTCGAAAGGCCAGCAAACCCGCGATCAACCAGCCAACGCCACCTCAGTCATCTAGCCAGAAGAATGCGCAGCAACCAACCCCACCAGTACCGCAAAATCTTAACGATCAGCTGGGCTCAAGCTCGGCAATGCACCATGCCGGGGGCTCATCACGGACTGACAACCTGACCATGATCCCAACCATAGAGGACGAGAGAAAAACAGAAAAGAAGTCAAAGAAAGACCGCGATGATGACAGTTCTTCCACCAAATCCACCAGCAGTGCGTGGAAATGGTTCAAGAGCAGCGGCGATGACAAGAAGAAGGACGAAAGCAAGAGAGCCAAGGCGAAGGCACTTGTCGAGAAGGCTCAGGATAATGTCAGGTTGGATGTTATACAAAATTCGATCGAGAAGAATGGGCCCAAGAGTAGCCGCGAAAGCTTTGTGCTCGATCGAGATGCCGTTGATTCGAAACTTCAAGAGGAGCGCAAGAAGGAGAGCAACCGCCGCAGCGACTCCAAGAAGGACAAGGATGGCAGCATATTTTCTTCCATTTTTGGATCGAAGAAGAGGGATGACAAGGACAGGCACAGCAAAAAGAGTCAGCATTTGCGCGTGCCATCGGAGCAACCGATTTTGAAACAAATGGAGCCAGACGTGGACTACCACTGGACTAGGTTTCCTCTGTTAGAGGAACGAGCCATCTACCGCATGGCGCACATCAAACTGGCGAACCCCCGTCGGCCTCTTCTCAGCCAGGTACTTCTCAGCAACTTTATGTACAGCTACTTGGCTATAGTGCAGGCTATGCACCCGAACATGAACGTCCCCATGTCACCGCAGCAGAAACGCCAAGAGGAAGAGGCTCGCCGCAAGCGGGAGGAAGAGGAGTATCTTGCTCAACAACAGATGATGCAGGAGAACGGAGAAGAACCTCTCGATCACTACGACTTCGACTATCACCGAGTAGGTATTCCAACGGTAGTCCAAGAACTGCGACTAACACGGATAGGGCCACGCGCAATATGCGGACGCAAATGACGGCAATGGTCATGGGCATGGCTCAGTCGAGTATGTCGACGAGTCGCAAATCTATGAAGATGATCATGGCAATGGCGGGCATCACCAGCAGCAACATCAAGACTATGGGTACGAGCAGGATTCTTACGATCACTTTCAATACCGCGACAACAACGATCAACGGCACGATGACGGGCGGCACAACATGTGGTGACTGCATGGTAGTGAGAACCCGGCCACCGAAGCGGCCGATCATGGAACCAGCAACTGGCTGTAACTACAGCAGCGTGTCTTTGTCCGAAACACACATACACAATCATCACCCTCTATGCATATGGCGATTTCGCGACACATGAGTATTTAGCATCTGGCGGAGTTCAGCGGGTCATTAGCGAGAGACAATATCGCCTGCGTTGTGCATACAGGAGGCAGCAGGGGCAGCCACCCTTTATATACATATCTTATTCCTGGGACCAGCCACGGAGACCAGGCGCGGGAGGCGGGCACAGCGTGAACGGTTAATTCTGTCGCTTCTTTCGGGTCATTCTTGCGCAGGAGCAAGCAGGCTACCTGACGTTTTCTATGTTCAGTGTGCATCACCAAGGGAGTGGATGGGGACCGGTGGATAAGGACAGGGTGGGCAGAGGCAGGCTCTTCTGCGTTTATCCCTCGAGGGTCGAGAAGTGGGCTGTAGGATATTGATGACTGTGAGCATTTGATACCATCATGATCAATGACTTGGTGCCCGCCCCTGGGCCACAACAATCGTGGAGTGAATGCAGCTCATATCCTTGAACACCGATGGAATGACTTGACGAGTGTACCCGTGTGCATCACGTCCTCCATCACAGAAAGAAACGGCTTTCCTTTTAATTATTACTACGCTAGCCGCTTGAGAGAGCTCGTTGCTTAGACGAGCGCTGCAGAGGTCATTCGCCGACGTTTAAGCGGAAGGCCTCATCGCCTCCTGTGCACTAACCGAACAGAGCATAAGTCGGCGTCACGGTTCCCGGGGGGTTGAGCGCCCGAAAAATATCTCCAGACCAGACTCTGTGACAGCTTGTTGTTGATTGCTTAGCAACAACACCAAACAACCCACCTCCGACCTCGACCCCCTACTCATCCTCTTCCTCTTCCTCGACTCGCTTTTTGATACCCAGCGTCGAGCTCGACTTTCGCACGTTAGACACCTGCACGCCGAAACGATTCGCTCCTTCCTCTTAATCGAACCCCCGACCGATCGACAAATCCCCCTGTTCAACAACACCGCGCGCGCACACATTGGTTCAACGTTAGAATGGCTGCTGTTAGTGTTGCTCCCCTTTTGCGGTCAATCTCTGTTCGAGTTTGTGCTACGTTTGTTCAAGCGGAGTTTACAACGGGGTGAGGCCCGCGTTGTGGTGCCCCCCTGGGCGAGTCACCAAGTTTCCGCCTATCGTTGCCTTTGACCCGTGGTCTTGTCTTTTGGCTCCCACCATCTCAGCACATCACACCTTTCCACAAATTACTTATGGATATTTCAGTCGCTAACTGCACGATGAAGCCTCGTTCTTATAACCAGGGCTACCTACAGAACGGTGCTGCCGGCCTGCCGCAAGGCGCAGCACCCCTCTTGCCTAACCAAGGCCGTGTCATCCAGACTGGTCCCATGCGCGTCCTTTGCATCGCTGATGTTCGAGGTAGGACACTTTCCCGGGGCTGTCGTAGCATCTACTGACCGTGCGCAGGAAACCTAAAGTCCCTAAACGACCTCGCTAAGCAAGCGCGCGCCGACCACATTATCCACACCGGTGACTTTGGATTCTACGACGACACATCGCTCGAACGCATCGCCGAGAAGACACTCAAGCATGTTGCTCAGTACTCGCCTCTCATTGCTGATCCCATCAAGAAGGCCATCTCCGGAGGGGGTCCCGGTTCCGTGAAGCAGCGATTCCAGCCACGCGAGCTTCCCCTCTCGGAGCTGTCCCAGCTCATCAGCGGTGAGCTCAAGTTGGAGGTTCCCGTGTACACGGTCTGGGGTGCCTGCGAGGATGTCCGGGTGCTGGAGAAATTCAGGTCCGGCGAGTATAAGGTACCGAACCTGCACATCATCGATGAGGCCCGATCTATGCTGCTCGAGATTGGGGGCGTGAAACTTCGCCTGCTGGGCCTGGGAGGCGCTGTCGTCATGCACAAGCTCTTCGACAATGGCGAGGGCCGCACAACGATCGCCGGTGGTCAAGGTACCATGTGGACGACTCTGCTGCAAATGGGCGAGCTCATCGACACGGCCCATCGCGTGTACGACCCTACCGAAACTCGAGTGTTCATCACACACGCCTCGCCCGCTCGTGAGGGCATTCTTAACCAGTTGTCCGTCATGCTCAAGGCCGATTTCTCGATATCCGCCGGTCTCCACTTCCGCTACGGCTCTTCCTACAATGAGTTCAGCGTCAACCCGACTCTGGATCATTACCGTGGCAAGCTGGCTGCATCCAAGGCATCCTTCAACGATGTGTGGGATACGGTTAAGAGCGAGGTCGAGCCTGCCATTGCACAGAATGAGGCTCAGCAGAATCTCTTGAAGAACGCGCTGCAGCTCGTGGAGAAGATGCCTACCGTGGCAGCTGGGGGCAACCCATTCGGCGGTCCTCAGAGTGGTCCAGCGACGCAGGGCCAGGTGGACGAGAGCGCCTTCAAAAACATGTGGAATTTCAACCTGGCTGATGCTGCGTTTGGCTACCTCGTCTTGGAGATCCAGGATGGAAGGATTGGTACCGAGATGCGCGCGCAGGGCTTCAACTTCTCCCACCGTGGGGCCAAGCAACAGCCAGGCGCCGCTCCTGCTCCCCCAGCCAGCATTGCGAACGCCCCTTCGCCAGCACCTCCATCAACCGAGTCCGCTGCCCCTCCGCCTCCCAGTCGCCAGGCATCCGCTGCACAGACCAAGCCTGTCGTTAGCGGCCCCAAGCCCGGCACCCCTCAGCCCAAGGATGAAAAGGCCCCTGCCCCAGCTAACGGTTCCGCCAACGGACCCGAGCCTACGATGTCTCCTGCGCCCAAGTCGAACCCTGCTGATATCATTGGGCTTTTCGTCATGAACGTTCAGTCTGAGGAGCAGTGCCGCGACCTGTTTGAAGATGAGGACAAGGCCAAGGTTGTCAAGGTTGAGAAATGGGGGGCCACGAACAAGGTTGCTCACTTTAAGACGGTGGAGGATCGTGATGCCGCTTTGGCCCACCTAAAGGAGGAGTACAAGACTCGTGCGCAGAACCAAGAAGACCGCTCCCGACCGCTGGTCAAGATGTTCATGCACCGTGAGGGCGGCAAGTTTGCCAACCGCGGTGGTGCTGGGAACTGGGGCAGCAGCAGCACCCGGGGTGGAGGCAACTCGAGCGGCTACCGCAGTGCCGGTGGTGCCAGCGATTCGGAGAGCAACCGCCGTGGTGGCCGGGGCGGACGTGGGCGTGGCGACCGTGGACGCGGTGGCCGTGGGCGCGGAGGACTTAAGGGTGACGGCGCCTCGCCTGCGCCGGCCGAGTGAACAAGGGTAGTCAGTGCGGTGCACTGATACCATCCATTGCCACTGTTTCACGGTTCTTTCTGGTCGGCTACACCACACATTTTGGCAGCCTCGCGGCGTTTCCTCTTCTTTCTTGCTCCTACAGGCTTGGCTTGGCTGGTTTGGTTTGACTGACGGCAGGGAAAAGAATTGGTTTCTTGCGGTTGGTACATGGTCTTTGCCCCCAGTCTCCCCCCTTTTTTATTTACGATTCCACGTACGCGTGCCCCTATAGCCCTTAATGAGCTGCGGGGCGGCGGGCTTGTGAGCAGTCTTTCTTATTTCTCGTTATGGCATTGAGGGCCGAGCTGCTCTGAGGCGCTGTGTGGAGTTACTAGTTGCGGAAGGCCAATAATACGATTAGGTGTTCGCCTTGATAGCTGGTGAGGCTGTGGTAGCATGACAGTGAAATCTAGGTGAATGGAAACTGAACAAACCGTTTAGCATGCTTCTGTATCTAACGCTTGCACTCAGTCTGTTCGTATCTTGCCTTTTGCATGTACTCATCAACGCGGCAACATTGTGTTTTACGACTTACAGCACCCCATTGATCGAGAGCAACGCCAAGCAAGGACCCTGTGTGAGACTACACGATGGTTTCCCCAGCCTCAACCGTTGCACTTCTTACCCTGTGTCTATTTGCCGTCTTCGTCGCGCTATTCACTTATCTTCGTGCAAACATTGTCACCAATGCGCGATCACTGTTTCCTCAGTACTGGTGTGACCAAACTACCAATGGTGAAGCCTCGACAGGCGTATCTATGACACAGTAAATGGTGGCGCTTGGGACACACACATATATTTCCGAGCCCCAAACCCAGTAAGGAGACGATCACATCAAGAATTCGAAACCTTGAAATTTGGCAATCTGACCAAACTCGTGTAGGGGAGTTCTGGATAGACGTCGTAGCGTTCATCCAAGGGTCCATCCAGTTCAAGACGGCCCACTTGCCGAAGCCCGCCATACGATCGCCGAAATTTCCCAAGTCGCATGATCGCATTCTCTCCAGACTCGAGCTCTCTTGGACCGGATCCCCAATCGACGGCACCGACCATTTTCTTTTCGTTTGATTACTTCAACTGAACTCTCTTATCAGATCAAATCGCCATGAACGCACGTTCAGGCCTTCGCTTGGGCGCCCGGGCGCTCCGCGCTTCAACACCACGAGCCCCAGTCGCGCGTGCATTCTCAACAACCATCTCGCAATACGACCAAGGAAAACACACACATTTCGGCTATGAGACGATCCCAGAAGCAGAGAAGCAGGGCCGTGTCGCGGGCGTCTTTACAAATGTCGCCGAGTCGTACGACAAGATGAACGACCTCATGTCACTAGGAGTGCATCGGCTCTGGAAGTACGTCTTTCCATCTATTGCGCTGTTACCTGCAGATACTGACTATCGGATAGAGACTATTTCGTGTCGACATTGAACCCCGGCGCGACTACACCACTCGGCCATCCCCAGAAGATCCTCGACGTTGCGGGCGGCACGGGCGACATTGCCTTTCGCATGCTACACAACTCGCACGTCCTGAACGGCAACCCGAACATTGAGCTCACAATCTCCGACATCAACCCAGCCATGCTTGAAGTCGGCCGCCAGCGCTCTCTCGCCCTGCCCGCCGAGCAGCAAAGCTGCATCTCCTTCCTCGAGGCCAACGCCGAGACCCTACCAAGCTCGATCCAAGACAACTCGCTCGACCTCTACACCGTTGCCTTTGGTATTCGCAACTTTACAAACATGCGTGCTGCGATCAAGGAAGCACACCGTGTGCTGAAACCCGGCGGTGTCTTTGCCTGTCTCGAATTCAGCAAGGTGGACCGATTCCCGCTGTTCAACGCCGTCTACAAGCAGTGGTCATTCAGCGCGATCCCTCTGATCGGACAGTTGGTCGCTGGTGATCGCGACAGCTACCAGTACCTCGTCGAGAGCATCGAGCGGTTCCCGACCCAGGTCGAGTTTCGGGACATGATTGTGGAGGCTGGATTTGACGTGGCCGGCGAAGGATACGAGAACCTCACGGGGGGTATTGCTGCCATCCACCGTGGCATCAAGCCCCTGCGGTAGAAGAGGAAAAGGGGGGGTTCACTCTGTATTACCACGGTGTTGTGTACTACTATATGCGGACAAGGCTGCGATCGTATAGACGGCATGCAAGGCGTTCGGGACGTGCACTTGTTATAATATAAGGCACAAGCCAATTACACGCAACGTCCATTTCCTGGAAAGGGATCAGGCTTCGAGATTCTACGCCATCGACTCCCTGGGCTTGGTCAGAGTGAAATTTCAGGCTCCCTCATGTCACGTTCAGCTCTTTATCTCATGTTCCCGGCTGAAGGGTTAAGCAGGAGCGTGCACTGTCTGTCAATTCACTTGGCCATCATGTCAAAGGATCTTGACGTGAAATACGTTCGGCCAGGCGTGGTGACCTCCCTAATCACATTCAACACCTTCCCGCGGGAACAAATGATGACGACTGGGGACTCAAGTGGCTAAGGTGAAGGCTCCCATGGGCTCCCATGGGCTCCCATGACCAACATGAAATAAATGTTCATATATACGCTCGGTTTCACTGATGACCGAGGTCATTGGATATGCTCGACTTGAACATCGCCGAATAATTACATAGAGCTCTTCTTCCCCAGGCGGTGGCTTGCCTGAACCTCGATCTCCATCCTACCAAGGCTACGATCTTGCTACTCCAAATCCAAAATTACTACCACTACTGCATCCTGCACAGGTCGACATCCTCGTTGTCGGCAGCGGCAATGCGGGCTTCGCCGCTGCATTGTCAGCCAAGCAATCTGGCGATGAGAATGTGCTCCTCATCGGCAAATGCCCCGAAGATTGGACGGGAGGCAACACCTACTTCACAGCCGGCGCGTACCGAACAGCTCATGGCGGCTTGGACGATCTGCTCTACCTGGTCAACAACATCTCCGCAGAACAAGCGAAAAGGATCGACCTGGCTCCGTACACCGAGAAGGACTTCAAGGACGACCTGCAAAGGGTTTGCATGGGCCGGACGGACGAGGCCTTGGGCCATGCGCTCGTCGCGGACTCTAACTCGGCTATTCGATGGCTGAGTGAGAATGGCATCCGCTTCCAGCTCTCTTTCAACCGCCAGGCGTACGAAGTAGATGGGCGGCTCAAGTTCTGGGTGGACTGAGCTTGAAAACCGAGGATGGTGGAAAGAGTTTGATCGAAGTCTATCGCTCGATTGCAAAGCGCAATAGCATTCAAGTCGCGTGGTCTACGTCTCCAGGATATGGAGCATCAGTCAACGCAAGCGGGGTGGAACGTCCGAGTCTCCGCGAGTGGTGTTGATCAGATTATCAAAGCCAGGGGGCTTTTGTGCGCACGATCCGGGAATACAATGAAGCTGTCTATGCTCACCGACAGGGGAATCCGTCAGCGAATTGGGACCCTGCCATCAGAGACGGCGTGTCCACGCAGTCCTCGACCAAGCAGCTCCCGCTCGCCAAGTCGAACTGGGCGCTGCCCTTGGACCAAGGACCTTTTCTGGCTGTCAAGGTCGCATGTGGTATTACGTTTACCTTTGGCGGCCTCAAGATTGAAGCAGAGACAGCAGGACTGGTGTATAGAATGACTGGCCGCCCGATGCCAAACCTGTATTGTGTTGGTGAAATGGTGGGCGGGCTGTTCTATTCCAATTACCCAGGCGGAAGTGGTCTCACATCTGGTGCTGTCTTTGGAAGACGCGCTGGGAAGGCTGCTGCCACGGCCTTGAAGTCTTCAAGCATGTACAAAGCAAGGTTGTGAATCACGAGACCAAGGTGCTGGCCCCGGTCGATCTCGTCACTGCGTCTGCGATGGGTGAGAGTATGTGCGGGGCGTTGGACGAGACCGACGCATAGAGAGGGAGAGGTGAGAGGGACAGACACGGCGAGACCAAAGACATGAACTCAGCAGACTACCTCGACTGGTGATCAACTCTCATCATTCATCCGGTCTCGCCAGCCATTGTTGGGCATCTCAGGTCCACATTTCAAGCTTCATGCTTGACAACCAAAGGGACTGGTTTGGGTACTCGTCCACGGCTCTGCGCATGTGTTCGTGCCAATCATCGTTCCAACCACCGTTCGCATATGTAGCCGTCGAATATTCACAGCAGTTCGGATATCACGACGCAAACTCACAGTCGATAATGATTGGCGTCCCATCGGGCTGTGCACCATGACGTTCTTTCTCTGGAAGTCGTTGTGGGTGAAGACGGGAGAGCTATCGCCGCGAAGGACAGTCGGCAGGATATGTTGTTGATACCGAGTCTTGTGGGCCATCCGCTCGCCGGTTTCGGTGACGCGTATCCGAATAATGCATTCTGTCAGTTCGTCCTCGGTTGCAAACGATATCTTGACCTCGTGAGCACCCTGCGTCACCGAGAACATGTCGTCGAGTGGCGGTCCGCCGGCAATGCTGCCAAAGTAGCCTGGGTGCTGCAGTTGCCGGAGCTGATGGAAGTAGGTCCGAAGGGTCATGGCGATGGCGGTTTTGCGAGCCTGGTCCAGGCCGCCCCGTAAGTTGAGAAGCGTCGGGCCCGGGACATATTGCAAGACGATATATGTGACAACGCTCTGTTCTTTTCGACGTTGGTAGATGGGTTAGACCTTGGGGATCGGCACTGTCGTGGACTTTGCCACGTACAGCATGTCATGGGCCTCGAGAGGGTGGACATGAATGCCGAACTTGATGACGAACCTCTGCCACGTCCTCATGAGGCGAGAGTCGGTGAACTGGTTGAGCAACACTTCGGAGCCATCGATGTCATTTGGAGTCGGCAGAGGATTGGGATAGTTCTGAGACCGGTCCACGAACAGCACATCGTATGGGGCGGCATGGCTCTGGCTCTGGGGTCTCATCTTCCAGAAGCTGACGCTGGTACTGCCCGATTCTCGCTTTATCGAGCTCCATTGGATTGGCCCCGGAAGCTGGTGTAGGACGTATACTTCGGCGGGTGGATTTCGACAGAATATATGTCTGAGAAACACTGTTGACGCGATGTGCATGCACTGCGGACAGTATAGCTGTTGCCCTCCTGTACTAGACTAGGTTCTTGTGATTCACCAGCATTAACGACCAACAATCCACCCACTTATGCTGATAGTCACGATACTGAGATGGTCGCCTAATGCAAATGTACGTACTACAAGGCACAAGGAACACACCATCCCCAGCAGGATATGATGTCTATGAGGTACTCAGGGGCCCCTGATTTTGAGTTAGCAGTACATCCTAACCGAGCAAGACGCCAATGTTCATGATGATGTATTTATGTCTTTAGAATTTCTGTATAGTCCATCACTAAGGCCTACTTCTTCTCCTTGAGGCTTTCCAGGCCTCCTTCGTACTCACTGACATCGTACTCGTCGGGGTACTTCTCAATGATCTCCCTCAACTTCCTCATCTGGTCCTTGAGGTCCGGTGTCAGCTCCTCGTATGTGTCGTCGAACATAGCCTTCAGTGGCGGCTTCTTCTCCTTCTCCGACTCGCTGATCCCCTTCAGGATCTCTTTCCGCATGGCATCGCGGGCATCCTTCTCTTTGATGTCATCCCACATGCCGTTGGCCTCCATCCACTTACGAAGACGAGTCAGAGGGTTGTCGCGTCGCTTCCAGTCCTCCACTTCCACACGCGCGCGGTAGGCAAAGGAGTCGTCAGATGTACTGTGGTGCGAGACACGGTACGTCATAGCCTCGATGAGAACGGGCTTGCCGTCGTCCTCCAGAGCGAGCTCGCGTGCGCGCTTGACGGCCTCCCGAACGGCCCAGATATCATTGCCGTCGACGCGGATGGTGTCGATGCCATAACCCATTCCCCGGCTGGCGATACCGTCGCCTCGATATTGGTCTAGCGTAGGGGTGGAGATGGCGAAACCGTTGTTTCGGCAGATGAAGATGATGGGGCACGATCGCGTGGCGGCAATGTTCAGTGCGGCGTGGAAGTCACCCGTACTGGCAGCACCCTCGCCGAAGAAGGCTGCTGTCACTGCGCTCTTGGATTCAGGGTTCTGCAGCTTGCGTATCTTCTGTGCGTAGGCGTTGCCAGCAGCGTGCGGTAGCTGTGTTCCTAGCGTCGACGAGATTGTGTGCTGCAGGTGTGAGCACAAGTACAACGGAGTTGGGACCACGAAGCGGACTCACAATGTTCAGCTCAGTGCTGCCATAGTGCACTGGCATTTGCCGCCCCTTTCCAGGATCATTCTTGTTCGCAAATAATTGGCTCATAAACTGCTTTGTTGTGAACCCCCTTTCCCTGAAGACGCCTTGCTCGCGATACTGACAAAACAGTGTGTCTTCCATCTCCAGCACACTTGACGTGCCAACTGACGCCGCCTCCTCACCCGCGCTGACCATGTAGAAACTGACGCGCCCCTGTCTTTGCGCGTCAAACATGATAATGTCCAGTATCGAAATGTACAGCATGTCAGTGTACAGCTTGACGATCTTCTCTTCGGGAATATCAGGTGTCCACGTAGGATCAACGACAGCACCGTGCTGGTCGACGACCCGATATGTCGGTAGAGCACTCCACTCTTGAGGGTGTTGAAAGGCTAGCTTGTTCGAAAAGGCGGACTTAAGCGCGCCTGGGAAGGAGACATAGTCGGAATCCGGCCGTTGCGAGAGGTTGCTGGCTAGGCGGATGGATGGGGACATTGACGGCCTGGACAGAGCAGCCCGGCGCGAGGCAGTTTGAAGGGCACGACTCCTCATTTTTTGTGACTGCTGATGTTTGGAGGGAAGAGAAATAACCATGGCGAACGGAGCGTGATTGAAGGTGGTTGTCGAAGCTGGGCGTGTGTACTCTGGGCCAGCGATTGAGCCGAGACAAACCGCCGCCCCAAGCCGAGCCGACTTGGACCGTGCCGAGCAGCTGCACGCCTCCAAGAACGCTCATTCGCCGATTAAGGCATTGACTGGATAAATTCACCAAATTCGGATTAAACTGCCCTGCTCTCTAGTCATTAAATAATACGACGGATACATTACCGACATGAGTCTGGGACTACTTGCCCACGGGCTGTACGGTGTAGACTGACGATGTGACGACCCCGCGTATGGCGCATCCTTATCGATAACACTTTGAATTCTTAAGCCGAGCAAGTGTCAACCCTCAATGCTCCCAACCTGCTCCTCATGACGATTATCGGTAGAAGGAGCAAATCCGCGCTCTTAAAATTGTTCGCCGATGCACTCTAGGCAGTATAAACGATTCTGAGCTCGTCACTGAGCTACAAGGCGTCGCTTTACTAACAAATGGAGTTGTACCAGTTTATTCCCAAGACAATATCATGTGGCTATTCTGGGAACAACAGCCTGATAAGCACGAGCAAAACGTGGCAAAGCACTAAACTTGCCAGTCCAACGAGGAGAACACTGGGTACTGATGGACTGATTTATGCGTTTGTTCCGACTTGCGTCTTGCGGCCTCGCAGCAGTCAAGTACCTGCAGGGGACGCTCCGCCGCACTGAGAGAAGCCAATGCAGGGTAAGTAAATAGCCTCACTGTACGGGGACACCGGACCGGGAGGTCACAACATTCAAGTTGTGCGTTGGTTTCTGATTGGAACACGATTAACGGTCCTACGGCATGAATACCCAACAGTAAAAGTCAAGACGCGTATGAATGTAGACTTGTTTTCCCTGAGCATGCTTACTTCACCGGAAATGGCCTACGTGCAATGTCCACATTGGAAGAGGATGGAATCCAGCACTAAGTCGGGCACCTTGAGAGCATCGTCTAACAATGCACCGCAGGTCTAGCACTACCCTATGTAACATCCAGACGTCTTTGAAAAATCAAGACGCTGACACGTATCTCGCTCTCTAGTAAAGATAATGATTTAGACAGTTGCCCGATATTTGAAGCGATAACGTGTGCTGGCGGGAGAGTCTGAGGACACCCCGCAATTTGGAGCTCCATTATTCGGTGGTCGCAGCCTGCCTGAGGTGTTGTAATCTTCGCCGTTTCCGTACCGTCGGCATCCTGGCGAGACTGATTGCACACTGCATCTACTAAACTCAGATCAGACAACAACCGCATTCTCGAATCCAAACGAACGGCTGACCCCGACCCTTCCGTCCTGCCGTCCTGCGAATGACCCAAAGGTCCTTCAGCGAACGACGACTGGGAAAACGGCCACAGCGACAGCGACAGCGACAGCGACAGTGTACTCGAGCACACCGTCGAGAGCTTCGATCGTGCCTTCTCTCTCAGATGGCGTAATCTGGGCATGGCAGAACAAATATCGGCAGTCGATAACGAAGTGCGCCTTCCTTCCGCGTCATCCTCCACAATCGGACCTGCGTCGACATCTCCGTCCCAGAGGTGAGTCTTGGTTGTTGGCTCTACACTCAAAAATCCAGCCTTCCATCATCCATCCTGAGCTGCACATGCACCATCTCGTATCCTACAGCCTGCTAGTGCGGCAAGTCCGGTCTGGATGGTAGCGAGCAATATATCCGCTGCTCAAAGAAGTTCATCATCCCGTACCAGCTCACTGGGGTGACAGCGCCCTGGCCAAGGTCATTTGATACGTCAGTGCTCTGATTCACCTGGCTGTCAGTCACGCCAGGTGCTCGCACCGGACCGGCAGAACCTTGAGTTTTCTCCGTCTTCCCAGTCAGACTTTGTCTGCGTTGTCTGCTGCACCGAGCTCCTTCTATACCTGACTGGCACCTTACCTTCCACACTCTGCCGTTGCCGGCGGCACCTGATGCGTCACCTGCATTGCTGCTAGCAGTAGTATACCAGCTTTCCAACTTCACGAGCTAGCTCGCACTGCCTTCCTGTCCCATCTCTTCCACATCCATATTGCCCTTTGCGAGGCCCGATCACTCATGTCACCTAGAATCACAAGATCATCGGCTCGCCAGGCAGCCCAGCAGGCAGATCAATCACCATCCTCGACTGCCTCGACTGCCAAGTCGAACCCCCTGCCTGCAACGGCCGCACCGGCGGACCCAGTAGCCGCATCGAGCCGTAAGCGAAAGACCGAGCAAACTAGCCCACCAAGAAGCGGCAAGGGGAATCCAGAAACTTCGGGCCGACGCTCCAAGAAGCAGAAGACCGCCGCAACTGGTGTAGCAGCTGCGGATACTTCCAAGCCCTCTAAGAGAAACAGCAAAAAGGGCAAGAATCTCGGCACAATGGACAGCCAAGAGTATGTCACACCCCAGATCAGAGCCAGTTTGGAGCTGACACACAGCAGTGGCTTTCCACCGGCCCAAAACTCATCAGAGCAGGTGACGCAGTCTGGCTCATCTAGCAGGAAATCTAGCCGGAGCAAGAAACCTGCAGGCCCATCAGGTAGCTCCCCAGCCGGTCCATCCTCTTCAACACGCCGAAACAAACGAAACACGAACCCATCCAACGAAGATACTCCCATGACGGGCACGAATGACGAAAAGGGCAGCAGTCCCGGCCCGCCAGCTCCGCCATCGGCCGACACGCATCCCAGCCAACATCACGACAGTAGCGA